CCTAACGCCAATTGTAACAAAATTATTGGCCTCGATTATCGTTCGTCGCCTCACTGCGGAACGGGAATCTCGGATTCGGGAACAGCAGGCCGATTTCCGCCCAGGACGTGGCTGTATAGACCACGGCAGGTGCTAGAGCAGCGCCACACATACCGGAGACCGACAATAGCTGTGTTCCTCGATTTCAATAGTGCGTTCGATTCAGTCGATCGATCGATCGATTCTGTTCGAAATACTTGCGCGGAAAGGTGTTTCCATGGAATATGTGAATATTCTTCGAACACTAGAGGCCGCGTCAGGGTCTACGGTGGCCTATCGGATAGCTTTCCGACCACAAGTGGCGTTCGTCATGGTTGTCCGATTTCCCCATTTTTGTTCAATTTCGTTGTGGATTCTATCATGGAGTGTTCACTTGGGGAATCTCACGATGTAGGCGTTGAAGTGCTGCCTGGTGAAAAGTTAGTTGATCTAGATTATGCGGACGATATCGTCTTGCACTTCGACGATGTTGGGGCGGCACAATGAACCCTGAATAGCCTATCCAGAGTGGTCCCATTATTTGGTATGTACATCGTACCTTCAAAGCGCAAACTGTTGCTGCAGGACCACCAGCCACTTGATGACCCCCTGGCGCTTGCTAACGAGGAACTCGAGGTGGTTGATCAATTCACTTATCTTGGCAGCTGCATCAGCAACGATGAGCGCATAGAAACTGACGTCCGCTCACGCATTGCAAAGACCGGAACTGTCTTTTTGAACTTACGGCATCTTTGGCGACAGAAGAGAGTTTCCCTCCGTCTGAAAGACCGTGTGTACAGGGCCACAGTGAGGACCGTTCTGCTCTATGGTAATGAGACTTGGCCGCTTCGGTCTGAAGATCTGAGGCGCCTTCAAGTTTCTGGTCATCGTTGTCTGCAACGCATTGCTGGTGTTGGGTGGCACCAGCGTGTTCGCAACGATGATGTGCGTAGGCGAGTACTAGGTAGTGATAGTCATGCTAGCTCCCTAGAACAACAGATCGCACTGAATAAGTTGCGTTGGCTGGGGTTTGTGCTACCTATGCCTGGTCACTGCTTGTTCAGTCTACCAGGTGTACGGTGGCGCAAGGCTCGAGGTGGACAGAAGTTGACCAAACTGGGTGCCGTTGGTCCGTCTCGGCTTCCGGGCTGGAGTCCACGTGACTCGCCTTGTGCTTGGCTCGAGACTTTACAGGACATGGCTCACATCCGACACTAGTGACGCATCTGCTGCTGTCTCCTAATCGGATTGCCTGTTTAAAGTGTGTTTGGTGCTGAGTTATCTGCGGGGTAATAGCTGATTATGACGCGTGGCAGTGAAAGCCGCAAGGAAGCTGTCTAGCCGATGCCGCCTTATCTTTGCACGATAGCCAGCTGTTTGTGACGGTATGTTGTCTACACAAGGTGTAGGCGCCTTGACCCTGAATGTTTGCTTAGGACATTAAGGTTTTCAGCTAAGTCGCTCTTCTCTCCCTCTTGTTATTCTTTATTTCATAGGTCATAGGTTGTATGGCAGCGAAGCATCAGTTCAAATGACTGATGTACTGCTGTTGATGATGATGATATGGCCTTTTTAGACTGTTTATCCATTCTTTACTGCACGGTTGTCAATCCTCATAATACATATCAAGTAATTCCCTAATAAGTAACTTGAAAATACTCATTTAAGTCTCGAGCACGAAAGACCATCTGTTGAGCAATTATTTTCAATGATCCATGGTCAGGCCATTACAATCATATAGAGGCTAAAAATAAAGATCGACCCAGTTAGTTCAAAACGAATAGATCACGTGAATGTCTATGTCGGAGACGAGAAAACGAATCAGGTCTTAGTGGGCTAGTTGTCTGCTCCCGCGTCTGACCGAAGGCAGTCGACCTGGGCGTCTTCCGTCTTCGCTGCTCAGGGAAGCTGGAGAGCCTGGACCAGCTTCTTGTGTGAGCATAAGGACGGCTGGAACAATCGAATGCACATTGCTTCAGCTGTCGCAAGCGTACCAAGGCGGTAACCTTCTGTTCGGTGCGGCGGAACCTTGTAAGCTATTCAGAAAGCGCGTTTCCAATCCACTTCATGGCTGGTGTCCTCAATGTGGGCCAGAATAGCGATACTGATGGTCCCGGCACCCCCTTGACAAAGCGAACGAGGGCAATGTTCTTTCACGCATTTGAATAACTGGCGCGCCGTTCGACCAATATACCTTGCGCCACAGGCGCACCTAAATTGATAAATTACCATTGAGTTGGTCAGCATCGACACCTTGTCCTTGTTTTGTGAAAGAATGGGTGGTTCTGTTGAAAACACGCACTTCAACGAGGTTGCTGGGAAGGTCGACTTTACCGCGGCCGAAAGACTTCTGGTTAGACGCTGGGTAGCCGCGTCCCCTTTGAATGGTAAACGAATAAATAGCTCTTTCTTTGCTGTTGTTAACACTGCTATTGGTCTATGTTTCTCTTGGTAGTTCCTTAAAATAAATCTATCGGGATAACCGTTTTCACGTAAAGTATTCTATATGAACATTAACTCCGCGTCTAGGATTCGACGTGCTCTTGAGGTAAGACAGTGAACCAAGTTGCGCTTGTATCTCATAGGAACGAAACGGACCTAAGATGTCTATCCACCACAACAAATATATCGTCAATGTATCGATGATAGCGGTCAAAAATGTCTATCGTCGCCCGCATTTCGGTTCACTAGCTTTGCCATGAAGATATCCGCTAATAGCGGTCCGAAAGGGGATCTCATCGCCACGCCGTCCTTTTGCCGGTAGTATTTCCCGTTAAATAGAAACTGCACATTCCCTAATATTTAAATCTTATAATTCCACCAGGGAACATTCTACGACAGTGTAAAATTGGAACTTGGATATTTCTGGTGTATTCTCCTCGCTGTCGTAAAGTCGACCTGCAATTCGCCTAGGTCATAATACGATACGCGTAGAATTTTCACATGACATCGGAGCATCTTTTTAGACGAGTATATATAAATGAGCAATCGATCCATTAAGTCAACCGCGCATTTAAAATGATAAGCATAGTTATGGTCGGCCTGAAGTACGTGTAACTGCTGTAGTACGTACCGTAGAATGAAAACACGATACATACTCAACATCTTGGAAAATATTTGGAACCGATCGAGAACTCATGATTTCAGGGAGGTTTGAAAACAACCGGTTGGTATAGCTTGTGGGCAACGTTTCGCTTCTAACACAAAAGCTTCCTCAGGCCGAGTGAACCAGTCGAGGATTGGTATAGCACTTATAACGAACTGGGATGATAATCACAACGAATTGGATGTAGGCAATAGTTCATCGTGTTACAGGTCAAAGCATCACTCCAAATGGTGCATGGAACGGTCATAAGTGGTCCGTGTTACAAGGTCATACACGTATCCTTCTTAACAATGGGGCGGGGATGGTGTGATGTTCATTCTCTGCCCTGGATCCGTCTGCCGGCGCTCCTCAGACTGGTCGGGTTAACACAGCTCGCCACACACTCGAAAGCTCTGCTCCGTCCATTCTGTTCACGCAGCTTTTCACTTTGCTAATTTCAACTGCCTCAGCAATCAGCCTCTGGGGAGTTGATCGAAACCCCTTTCTAAGGGTTTTAACCTTAACGCAGTTGGTTGTCCTATCTGCGGGAAGTGAATCTTTCAAGTACACTAGTGTAGAGCGGAGCGTTTGGCCTTTCTGGAAAATTATCCTTATGTTTTCCTTATTTAAAGGCCTCCGGATGGTATCGTTTCTGGTCACTGGAGAGTTGTTCGTACTTACTGGGAACTGTTGACTATCGCCTATCTTTCGCCATTAGTATTTTTTCTTTTAACGGTGATCCGGGTGTTTAGATGCGCTATGCTTCTGTTGTCGCATCTAACCTGATTGCAATTTCATGAATGGTTTCTCGGTGCTGAAAATGTAGCTGCCTGTTGCATGTCTAGAGTAAGTGATATTACTGACATCACCAACAAAATCCACGCGCCTTATTGTGACTCTGAAGTTCTTTGATTCGGCAATTCTTCAATTCCCTCCACCATACAATTATTCTAAGGCTGTTCCTTAAGTTTAGAAGCGCGCTCTTGATTATCGTGAAGTTCTAATCTCGTAAAACTTAGCGCTCCTGATTGCCATATATAGCGTTGTTCTGTGTGCATAAAACTAGGTAGTATGCTGCTTAGCGGCATGTCTCTAGCTTGGGATTCTCCAGTACCCATTTGACCATTTCGGACATTACCCTAATTCTGTTGATATTCTGACTTTGGAATTTTCGATACTGTCGCCGAGATTAAGTCGTCATTTTATGTACTCTTGCTACATGAAAGACCTGATGAGCCATCCTCCGTCATTTTTCCTTGTCTTGTAATTCAATATTGAGAACCTCAACTGCGTGATAAGTAAACTACCGCGTTTGCAGCATCGATGGGCTCCTGACACTTAACTAATCCAGTCATCGCTCACTTTTCTGCTTCTCGCATACCTTTACTGGATGCCTGACTAAGCGGTTTTGGTGTGTAAACCTATTGGCCTTTGGCAAATCCCATATTAAATGTCTAACAACTTACTGCGCACAGTGACTCAAAGCAAGACCACCTAGATGGCAAGTTCACTTTTGGGTCAAAACCGCTAGTGACAGTGGTGGTACTGCTTCCTCTGTGACAGCAGTGATCGCGGTGGAAAACAGTAGGAATGCATGATAGTTGTATGCTATCTTCACAGCCTACCTGATTCACCTAAACTTTGCACGCACCAGGCCTATCTTTTTTGTTCCCATTTCATCAAAGCTTTCGTCGATTCATTGAGTGCAGTCGTCAGACGTCTATACTCTCTCCTGATTGCCACACGTGTCCACTAAGGGAGCAATATTCACCTAGGATCTCGAAATATCATCATGCTAAACTTATTTTGCTACCGGCTGCATTGGCTATTTGTGATACCGGAGGCATATCATGTTCACGCACCTAATTTTCCCATTGTTGATTTCTTTCCCGTGCAGTAAGTATGGTGAGGAATCTCGTTATTCCGGCACATCTGCGGCCTCTGATCGCTCTATTCACCAAAACCCACTCGGTCGGATCGATCCTGTTCTAGCCGCTGCCGCCGCCGCTGTTCTCAATGCTGGTTTTGTCAACCCTCCTACATCCACTGACATTGTTAACCTATGCTCCAGAACAAACTCATCCTCTGCGGCGTCTGCTGTTGCTGCGGTGGCTGCAGCCGCCATGAATGCCGCTGCAATGGCTGCCGCATTGGGCGTTGGAAATGGACTAAACCCGGGAAATCGAAGCATCACAGAAGCGAATAAGATTCTTAATGCCGCAACTGTTGCCAGCGGCATTCAGAGGTCCTCGCACGTACCATGCAACCGAGGTGCCCACTCTCCAGTTTTGACGTCCAGGCGATGTGATGTGGACACTGACCGCGCTTTTCACGGTACTGTTGCTCACGAAAAGCGGAATCGCGATATGGCTTCAATTCACGGACGTTTTCCACATCATCTTGATCACCGAGACCCGGAGGACGATCCTACAGCTACTAGGACATTATTCGTCGGTAATTTAATGCCCGACATTACAGAAGATGACCTGCGCGTGCTGTTTGAGCGATATGGTTTCATTGAAGACATAGATATTAAGCGCCGTGATCCGGACTCAGGCGTCAACGCTTACGCGTTCATACGCTTCGTGAATCTTGATATGGCCCATCGTGCGAAAGTCGACATGTCTGGCCGGCTGATAGGTCAATTCACTTGCAAAATCGGATACGGTAAAGTAGTGCCAACTCGTTGCCTATGGATCGGTGGCTTGGGACCGTGGATAACCTACCCAGCTTTCGCTTCGCTAGTTGGAGAATTCGGCCCCACGGAAAAAATCATATGGCCTTCAGGGAAAAATTACGCAAATATTTTGTTTCCCAGCGTCGAGATCGCCGTGGCTGCCGCGGATGCCTTGCGAGGATATCCACTTGGTGGTGACAATAGAAGAATCCGTGTCGATTTCACCGACGAAGCTCATATGACTCGGGATCCACTGAAACGACAGCATCTCCCCGGGTCAACTTCAAGCAGTACCCATTTTCCCGCGAAAGAACTATTCCGTTCTCGGCAGAGTCGTGACATTGTTGAGAATCCTAGTGATACTTCACATCCCTTATCGCATTGTCGGTCACGAAAGCGTGTCTACGGATCCGATAGCGAAGAACATCGTAACCGAACGTCGTCTTCATTGCAAAAAAGGCCTCACAATCAGCCGTGCGATGATTCGGCACCTAAGCGCAAGACTAGGCAGACATTAGGGAACGAAGAGGTAGTATCCTCGTCGAAAGTATCCAAATCGTCCAGAATCCTCTCTTCTAATTTTCCACACTCAGCAAAAACAAGTCTTACAACTGTGCAAAGCGCTACGAATATCGAACAGCTAGCTGCGTGTCTACCGACAGCCTGGAACTGTGCTTTCTTCTTAAAATCTAGCAGTTTTCCGTGTAAGATACATATACTACAAGGAGATCGAAGTTTGGTCGATCAGTTCGCATCTTATCGTTCCGAGAAACATTCCACCCCAAAAATGCCGAATCTTGATGAGCGGAAAGTGACTGAAACGGATGGTTTTATAAATCTCCGCATTACCCAAAGAATGAGGCTTGATCCTGTTAAATTGGAAGATGTTAGCCAACGAATACATAGCGCCGGAAATTCCGGATTTTGTGTTCTGCTTGCTGTGCCCTCTCCTATCACCAGCCATTCTCGTTCTTCGATCTATGCTGATTCCAGTGATATAACGAAGCAGCCGCAACGTCCTCTTCGCAATCTGATTTCTTATTTACGCACCAAGGAGTCGGCAGGCGTAGTACTGTTAACTCACTCACAATCTGATCTAGTCAGTTCTACCTCTGCGCCAGACGCACTGCAAACGGCTGGAGTACTTCATGCTTTCCCTCCTTGTGATTTTGCATTCGATTTGCTGAAAGAACGAGCTGTGAACCTGCGCAGAGAATACAACATGGACGATCATCTTGTGATCTTGTTAATCCGCAGCACTGGCACACTGTGAGGTGTTACGCCGGCGTCCCTCTGAGTAGACACCACCGTTTCCTTTCATTTGACATTTAGCACATCGCTTCTGCGCTTTTCGAATGCATTTTACTGTTGTACTTCCTTGCCATTTGATGTAAGCAATCAAAGATGAATTCATTTGGTGAACTCTTCCGCTTGCCTGTTCACTTCGTCCGCGAAACACCATTGTTCCGCTAGGCGCAGAGGTTCTATCCTCATTGCTGTAGCCTCGCTGGGACTCCTCTGAACCCTGTAAACTTGACGGGAAGGGCGTTTCTAATAGGCACGCAATGTAGGTCTGGTATTATCGATGGTAATAGTTATTGGGCGTAGCCGTTGTAGGTAAGCATTCCTGTTGCGAAATACCGATGTCGGTATCGGTGATCTGATTGAGACTTATCGTGCTTGATTTTTTCGGAATCGCTTGTACCTGTTACGCGTCTCTGTAATAGTAACACTGGTAGCCCGATTTACCCCTATTCAGAGCCATCTATGCTCGTATTAAAACTGAAAGGATATAGAGTGGATTGTTATAGCCCAGCTCTGCTTATACCTTAACCTCCATCTGCCACTTTGTATGCTGGGGGAACACGGCGCTAGAAGCAGCGTTATTTACCACAACAAACGAACGATATTTAATGAAATGTGTGTGACAGAGTTGCGTTTCTGGAGCCAACCGACTGAGTACTTTTGTTTCAAATTCGGCACGTCGATCTTCACAAGATTCAAATTGAAGCCTGTAGTCTTTGAGAGTTCTGCTTTCAAACATCCGTGGCTGATTTCGGGCTTGCTTACAATGATCCGGTTACTGTTGTCTTGGTGAACCGAATCATGGCAGCTCGATATACCACTTTTTAGTACTTGGATCATAGCTGTTTGATTACTTGTTTCGATTACCTTTATCTTCTAGACTGCAAGCTTAATGCGGCAGTACAGACTCATTTCTTCTCCCCGAATACTAGGCTTTTGCTTAGGAATTGTCAAGCGGATCTCTGTCTGGCGTCGTTCCATGCTGGATTGTCGTTCGTACTGGAATACATGCGTCGAATTTGTTCATGTTTTGGCACACTGAGTTTTGTCCATTAATTTTACTGAGAGGCGTATGAAACATCTCACTCGACTGACAAGATGTAGGCGCCTTGACCCTAATGTTAGCTTAGGACATTAAGGTTTCACGCTAGCTTCCTCTTTCTCGCCTGTTATTCTTCCTTTCTTAGGTCATTGGGACTGTACGGCAGCGAAGCATCAGTTCAAATGGCTGATGTGCTATCTTTACAAATATCTGGCAATGAACCTCGATCGCACCAACAAGGTCGAACGCTGCGTTTGTGCTGTATTTAACATGTTCCGCAGTGTCAGCAACTCGAGTCGATATATTCCGTTAGTTCCCAGTGTATATGAGTTTAAAAACTTCAGTTCAGTCACCATGTACCAAATTCACTTACCATCAGCTTGTCATTGAGTGGATTGCGTTGTTTGCCTTTAGTGGCTCTTAGGGCGAACTCGGCCCGTTGTGTGGACGTGTCGTTGTCCAATTTACTCACAGTAAATGTTTTTAGATCCATTGGTGTATCATCGCGGTTTTGTAACACAATCGGGGCTTCGTTTTAGACGATTTTAGGCGAAGCTGTGGGCACGAATAATGTTCATTTTCGCTTCTGCTATGACCAGCGTCAATGTATTCGCACATTGGTTTTCGCCTACCGATTTACACCCCGGTGGTCAGTGAGATGGCGCGGGTTATTAACTAATTTTTAAACCAGAATGGCTGAGTCTTCCGACGAGTTCCGATTTACCGCTTGATGATGTGGTAAATCTTATAGGGTTGTACCCACTAACTGGGGCTCAAGCTTGTGGTCTGACGGCGCGGGTTCGAGCCAGCGTAGGGGCAGGACGACCCTCACAGTATCCTTAGCCGACGTGCGATCGGTGGTTTCGCGGCAGCGAAGCGTCGGTACTGCGTACCGGCGTGTTGCTGATGCCTTCCATTCGTTCCTCGATATCATTTAGTCCTGGTATTCAAATCAAGAAATAGCGTTATGCACTGAGGGCGGTTGGCGCGAGCTTAGTTTCTCACATTATCAGGATGTAAATGAAATAGTCTAATTACTGATCGCGAATAGAATTGTGAGAAGTCACGACATGCTCGCTCTAGTTAAACTGTTCTACCCCAAGTGTGGAGTCTCCAGTGGACTGCTCCGCATGCCTGAAAGATGCGTCCGTGTGTTTGACACTGCCGTGTTTACTGCGAATGCGAGCACACTGTAATAGTCCAATGTTGCGCAGTGCCGGTAACATTCACACCGCGTGATGTTTATGCTATTCGGCTCCATTGGGAAGGAACTTCGAAGATCATTGGTCTGTACATCGCAATAGAGGTAACTCGTATGGTTACACGCACGCAGATGCGCCAAGTACCGATGTTATTAACGTTTACCTGCAACAAAATTGAAGTCGGTATGGCTGCTTAAAGAATTTGGGAGTGCAATTTATATGAATCTGAACACACAACTGTTTGGCAAATGGGGAGATTGGGGAATCACAGCCTGGCGCTTTTACGTGATAGTTGTGACGGAATTGTACGCTTTACTGGGAGCGAATGATGACTTCAAAAGCACCTTTAGAAGCTGCAAGTTCTTCAATAGTTCCTTCTTCCACTTTCACTCCATCAGCCAACACGATAACCAAGTCGGTCTTCTGTATCACTGAAAGCCGATGAGCACTGATGATAGCAGTTTTTCCTTGTAGGAACCGTTCCAGATTGAGCTGTATCTTTTCTTCAGTTCGCGCATCCAAGGCTGACGTTACTTCGTCAAGAAGCAGCAAGTTCGGGCGGTGGATATACATCCGGGCAATTGCGACGCGTTGCTTTTGGCCAACTGATAGCTCGCAGGCGCGGGGTCCAAGAGGAGTTTCGTAGCCCTGCATGGGGATGAATATACATGTGATTATTACGAGGTGTGATCGTGAGACGTCACCGCGTTACGAGAACAAGGAGCTAAATCAAGAGAGCTTCTTCGGTCAACCGCCTTTATTGATTCAGAGTAAAATGAATGTATCCTTAATTAGATGGCCTATTTTTGCAGTGGGAGCAATTTGTCATCCAATCACTCCGCTATTCATAATAACAGATATGTTTGTGTATACGATAAACGGAGTCCATAACTGGTGCGAATCATTTTTACTGGGTCGCACCTCACTTTCGAGGTGGTGGTGGGTGGGTCGCACGTGGTTGTTTTTGTCCGCGCGTACATATACTTTATGGAATTATAGCCCACCGAGAGAGTGCGAGTCAAGAACCAGAGCTACACTTGTGGGTGACTTGGGTATATTCCACATGTTATACATACCTATGTGGAGGGAGATACATGACGAGGCATCTAGGTTACTGTGATGCTGTGGTCTATGGGAGTGGGGAATAGGCCTCTATGTGTAAACGTTACTCCCGAGTCCTCGTCGTATCAAGTACATGGTGAATTGTCAATGGATGACTTCATTTTCGCTTCTATAGCTCTTATTTTCATAATTTCGTACAATAGATATTCCTGAAGGTTGCTGATAGTAGTTCTGGTTCGCCTCGATAAAACTGCAAACAATCATGCTCGCTCACTGTGTGCGGACTTCTGATAGACATTATCTAGTACCTCTCGTGGGAACAAGGTCATAACTGTGCTCAGACCAGGGTAATTTCCGGGCTGAAATAAATTAACTGCACATTCTGTACAACGCGAGGCAGACACACCTTCGTATGCATGACCAGGGTAAAACTACGCGAATAATCGATCACTGTACAGAAATGTCAGTGAATTTATGTATGAATAAGTATATAAAAGTAGTGTATGTAGGGGTCTTATTTGTATTATTGCAACATTTGTGACTGTGTTCTATCGGACGGTCAGTGCGAAAGGGCCAAAGAAATTCTTCAAGGAAGATGAACGATGTCCGCAGATTGGGTAAGATCGTTTGGACAGGCAAGTTTTACCCGAACCACCACGAGGTTGTTCGGCGAGCCAGCTTGTTACGAAGTTGCAGGCGCGTTTGATCTGAATGTGATTTGTTCAACAAAGTAGCTTATCTGATCAGCAAGAAATTGGAAGGTGTATTCTTCTGGTCCGCGACTTTTGTCGCGTAGTTCGCTAGTGGAACTGCACTGCATGCGGTTCTGGCGCATGCAAACAAGACCGTACAGTAGTCCCAACGCATTCTGTATTCTTCGTAGCCAAAAGGGTTCGGGTTAGGTTGGTAGACAATGCTCTCGTTCGTTCTGAGTGGAATTTTTACCTTGTAAATAAGTAACCGATCGCCGTATGCTTTCTATCACTGCGCCCCAGTGTCTTTCTGAATGTTTACGCGCGATATTTCTTTTTCATTTCACACTGATGTTAATTATCAAAGTATTCATCTCGGCAAACGTTCGATAGATGACCCACACATATTTCAATTGCATCATATTCACCGCTACCATCCTACGGGACGTGTCAAGCACTTGCTTTTATCTCGTGATAAATCATTGTTCATTGTAGAGCCGTTTTATTGCTTTTCCATACCGTTATATGTGACGTCATTATTCGAGAATTGGACTGGTGAAAATGTCAGAAATCCAGATTCTGGCTGTATGGATCCAGGTTGATATATTGCTTACAGGTTGGTTCGCACCATGTTGCTCCGAAAAGTTGCGGAACCACGGCTAGATAAACATATGATCCCGATAAAGCAGCTGGTAACAAGAATGGTGGACACTATTAGAGTGCTGACACCTATGCGTTTGTGTTAGTAACGTGCACTGTGGAGCCTTGTACAATCGATACTACACAACTGTTGTTGTGATCTGACGTAGTGCATTCACTTTGTCCTAAAGACCTCGTGATTCTACAAAAACCGCATTGTACGCCTCTTCCCGATTTCCAGTCCTGACATACCGTAGCCCTTGGACGTTCACACAATGCGTTGTCAGTGACAAACTTATCAGATGACAATCACCTCCGTTCTTTCTCAGAGACACTGTTACCAGGTCGCCGACTGCGTGATCTTATCAGTGATACTGCTATAGAGTGGCGATTACGTCACCCTAGCGTCTGTTATTATCTGGTGCCAACTTCCGATAACGGGGCCAACGGTACGACAAATACTAAGGTGTCAACGTGTATCACCTTTTACTATACTGATAAAGTGATTCGGCTATAGATCTGTCTTCTCTATCGGGATTGCGGATAGTCGTATGTAGTCCATGTCCGTCTCGGTACAATGAGGTAGCAACTGTTGGGCGACTAAATTCTCAGAGGACGCGGCAATTCGATCGGCACAGTTTTGCAAGAGCCGGACCTTTCATTCAGACTAGGAAACCGTAACAAGCGGTGGGGTTAAAAAAGTGAAGCCTTGTTATACATCTCGGTCAGACTAAATGTTAATGTGGTTCATTGGACCGTGCCGGGTGGCAACTTCCTAGGGCCTGTAGGCTTACCAGGTAGGTGCTCGGTTGATCACACAAGTTCATCTTCGCCATCCTTATGGGAAGCTGGGAAAGAGATCAAGTGCCATGAGAAATTGCATTTTGTAAGCCCAGATCGATTAGCATATATCACGAAGCTCTGTGAGTCTGAAATTCGATGTTGTATGCTTCAATTGACCGTTATCATATGTTCGTCATTAAGTAATAAAAACACGTGAATGTGTTGTCCTAAGTTCAGTGAAGCCGAAAATCTGTAGCCGTCCTCTCGGGCCAACCCGCTCATCGGACTCAAGCCAAACACTGCCGTGTTACTGTGACCGGGCACTAAAGAGCGTAAGGACTGATCGGCTTATCGTAAGTGCTTTTGCTGTGGAGCCATCTACTTATCATCACTCAAGTCCGCCAGTTAGTGTCCGGTAACAAAACCTCTGCTGTCTGTTGAAGCTGGACCACTTGGTTAGTTACGGTTTACGAAGGAAGGCCGAGTGGTTGTTTCCAAGTCCCAAAATGGCCAGTCGATGATATGGCAAGCTAAAGTAGATTGGGCTGAAATACTGTATATTGCTGCGTATTTCCGTGAGTGGAGTCCTTGGCGCCGCTGCGACATAACCAATGTGCGTACCATCAGTTTCTGCACCTAAACCTGGAAATACCACAAAATTTTGTCTGCGCAGTGTTAACGGAAATGAGTGAACAGTACATTAAAAACCTCGGGTTAGAGTTGAGGACAGCGGCGTGCCGTGATAGTAAACGCAGTGCTTCTGACAGGCATTCACTAACCTGGGGTAAACCAGCAATGAATTCGTGAACGTGAGCCCGGCGTGCCGCATCGATCACCTCATCCAGGCTGACGATTCGAGTATTATCTCCATAGGCTATGTTTTCCCTCATACTCAAATTGAATAAACGTGGCTCCTGGTCCACAAAGCCGATCTGGCTCCTGATCCATCTGGGGGCTATCTTGTTCAGTGAGATGTCACCGAGGAATATGCCACGAGTAGGGTCGCGCGGGTACCGATAAAATCGTTGCAATAACTTCAATAAAGTTGTCTTCCCGCAGCCAGAGTGGCCAACCAGAGCAATCTTCTGCCCTGGTTTAATGATGTGTGATAAGTCCTGCACAAAAAATAAGGTTATTTACAATATCATGCTGATAGATTAAAGCAGGCGATCTGCAACGGGGCTCTGGTGACCCCCATGTAATCAGACAAATGGGCATAGCGATCAAGGTCGTATGGCACTAGTCACAAGTCCCATAAAATCGAAGTGCGCCGATTGAGTTTCAGGATAGATCTCTATGGTCGAAAGTAACAGTTCAATTTATCAGGTCTTAACCGGACGCAGAGGTGCGGTGGATCCATTTGCTGTGACTCAAACTGGTAGGAAATGCAGAAAATGTGAGAAACATAATCAAAAGCTTACCGTCTAATATTTAAGGGAAAATTTAGGCAAAGAAACATCTTTAATCGAAAATTCGGAAAAAAGAGACGTGCAAGCGTTCCGCAAGTGCGGCATGCCAGCTATTGATATAATCAATTCAAGAATACGGTACACAAGATCGTGACCCAATCTCTCATCTAATTTTATGAGATCATGTCGTGGCACTGAATTGCCAATTCGTGTGCCGACACAGGCTGTGCAAATTCAACGGACATCGGTGTTTGGGACGAGACACTGATTAGTGGACACCAGTGTTGGTCATCATTCAGTGATCTTATCGGTCAAACATAGGTTGTAAGTGGCGACTAACTTCTCAGATTCTTCGGTGCGCATTTAATACACTTGACAGAGTAACACTGGCCTTAACATGACCATGCACGTCCTGATCCTAATTGATAAGCTAATGTGCTAGTCTCCATAGCGAACTGAGACTGAGAAGCCTCGCGGACCCCACCGGTTCGTGGTGGTTTGGCCGTTCGGCGTGACACAACTACGTGGATAGATGAACCCATCTACCAATCCTGATGGCCATATTGCATTCGAAAGTCGGCGAGTTGATGGCCCATTCCTGCAACAGCACCTTGCAAGTTGAAGGTGCAAAACGCGCACTGTGTCCGTTTATCCGAGAGCGCTTCTACAAGGACTGAGTTCAACCCCAGTGGGGGTGTCAACTTTCTACGCGTTGAAGAAATAACGAAGCTGATTATCTTTGCATAGTATTCCCCAAATGGAGCGCAGGGTAGAGCTGCGTACGAAGTCTGCTAGGTTAATCGCTTCATCCATGCAGGCGGGATGATATTGTTAAACTAGTCAGAGATGGGGCGCACGACGCTACAATGCAGCCGATATAACTGTGAGGTAAAAGATTGTGACCGATGTTCACTAAATACGATAAGAAACCGGCTCATGTCTGGTCGCGTTGGTTTGGTCATGTCCCTCGTGTATTTGTCAACCGGCTGTCTCGGAAAGTAGTATCCACCATTACGGCAACTAGTTAAATGAACCTAGATCCGCCCGTCAATGATGTGGTTAGAGTGCACAAAAAAACTGGTGCATACCATCATCCTGGACCAGGGCCTCAAATCAGATCATGTTAGTGGCTGAACTTTGTCAAATGTGGAACAGTTGCGCACTCAGTAGCATGTTAGCGAATGAATCCTCCTATTAACGGAATAAATATATCCTCTTTGATCTCTTTCCCAACGTGGTCGCGTTTGTCAGCTTGAATTTTGTGCCACTCGTAATTTCCCTCATTCGGTCGGTGACGCCAGTCACAGTAACTACATCTGTCATGCTTTGGAGTCGAGATTGCAAGCGCCAACCGAATTCAACCAAACGCGTCTACATTGTGGACAGTTTCTTATAAATCGAGGACCGTTTATAACACCAAACAAGGAGTCGGACATCGCTGACTCGTCTCCGAGACGCCTACAAATCTAGCTTCAATCTCACCGTATGAGTCATTATATTTATACACATCAGCTAGAGGTGGGAAAACACCTCCGCTATTATGCCGCAATACATGAAAGAAATACATACATACATATAATACAATACACAAAGGAAAAATAGATACAACAGTTGCATGCCAGCTGAGCTACCAGCAACGGATAGGCATCGTTCCAGTAAGCTTCCAGCCAGCTACTAGGCAAAAAGAAATTTTTTTTATTATTATTATGTTTTACCCTCGGAAATGGGATCGTAGATGGAGGGGGAGACTAAAAGGGATGGGGAGGGACAAAGAAACTCATAACACGAACGTCACTGAGGTCGGTTCCTTGCCATGTCAGCAAGTGTATCCAGCCGAACGTGTTCATCGTCTTTTGGACCCCAACCAGGGAGCCGTGAAGCTCCAACCGAGGCTAGCTCCGAAGTGATGGACTTCATTCCTCTGGACCAAGTCATCGCTTGGCCACCTCTCCTCTTCTTCCACCTACATCCCCGGTGAGCAAACAACGCACGTCGCGGGAGTCGGTGGGCTGGCATGCGTAACACGTGGCCGAGCCATCGGAGCCTGGTGCGGGAGATAACGGTGCTGAGCGGTTCAGATCCTTTTCCTGGGCCGTAAACAAGGCGTCAAACACGCTCGTTACTCACGCGGTGTTCCCACCAAATGGTAGCCAAACTGCAAAGGCACTGATGGTCGAACGTAGCTAGCCTCTTCAAGTCCACCGACCTTAGGGGCCAGGTTTCGCAACCGTACAGTAAGGTCGAACGTACCGCTGCATTGTACACTCTACCCTTCAGGGCGAGAGTGATGTCGCCATAGGTGGCGAAGGTTAGCAAAAGCACTCCGAGCTTTCGCTATACGGTTCGTGATCTCGTCTTCGATCCCAATGGCGCTGATACAACTTCCCAGGTAGTTGAATTTTTGAACGACTACTAGCTGATCCCCACCAAGGGTCAGCGCAGGAGGCGATCCCTGCCAATCTTGGAGGAACGCTTTGCACTTCGATGGTGCAAAGCAAAGCCCGAAGCGGCTGACAGCCAGTACTAATCTGTCCAGCGCGGTTTGGCACGTCTGGGAGCTGTCACAGATGAGAGCAATGTCGTCTGCATACTCCAAGTCAAGAAGTCGTTCTCCTGGGAGTAGCTCCACACCTTCCAAGTCATGTTCTGTAAATGCAAACTCCATGACTTCGTCAATAGCGAAGTTGAAGAGGAAAGGTGACAGCGGGCATCCTTGTCTCACACCGCTGGAGATATTAAAGGGTGGCGACAGCTTGCCGTAAGCCCTCACTCTGCCCGTGCTACGCAAATATAAGGCTTGGATACTATTTACGTATTTCTCGGGCACACCTTTCCTGAGTAGACAATTCCAAAGGGCACATCGATCAACCGAATCGAAGGCACCTTTGATGTCGAGGAACACGACAACGGTGGGCCGCCAATATATGTGGCGGTGCTCCAACAACTGACGCAAGAAGAAGATGTGGTCGATGTAGCCACGACCCCGACGAAACCCGGCTTGCTCCTCACGAATCTGGCTTTCACGAGCGCCAATTAGTCTGTGAAGAATTATAGAGGCGAGTAATTTGGAGGCGATGGAGATCAGACTGATTCCTCTATGGTTGCCGCATTCCGCGGTCATGAAGCCTGGTAATCCGATCTCGCAGAACTCGTCCATGAAGTCACCCACTGGAGCTCTAGCTTGCGTAGATGAATGATAAGGTGAAAAGCATCACATACTGGTGCGTTATCCGAACAGCGCCTACATGATGAAAGCATGGAAAATTTCAAGCTCTGTAAATGTGTCCAGAGAGATGGATCTTAGTTTCTATGCGCGCGCCCTCAATATTGGAAGGTGTTTGAGTCGCAGCGAATGCGATGAGTTGATATTTTCGACAGGCTGTAAATTTTTATATCCGTGCCGAAACAGGTTACATCTAGGGTTGCGCAACAAAACGCCACGAGGATTAGACTACTCAAGTAGCTTCACTTTTGAACGATTTATAATGCCAACTAATCGTTCCATTGAAGCATAGAAATACTGCGTTTCAGGCTACCGAAAACAAGATGGCCAAAGTATGACCTGCGGTCAAAAGTACAAATGCGTTGACTTCACACTTGGCGCTCTAGGCTCGCTGGCTGGGAACGCAAGGATCACGAAGACTGGAAAGCCTCTCGGGCAAGGCAAAGAACCGTGCACAATGGCGAACATGATGTGATAATCTACACCCGTAACAACGGTTTTACACTTTCTCTTCACTATCGTAACGTCATACTTATCCATATGTTATGGCACTCCTAGAGTTGTACTATATATATATATATATATATATATATATATATATATATATATATATATATATATAGCGAAAATGAAGGTAAGTAAGCGAGCTAATGACCAAGAAACAGTAATTTTGATCCAGAATAATTACGAGGGAACGGAAAGCTCGAAATGCACGAAGAACATTAATTGTGCATAAGAGGATTGACCATGTGTTAGATGATAGGGCCAGGAACAGGTGTACAAGGCAGCATAATGATAATCTTTTAATTTGCCAAAGGGCTTAGGCCGCACTTCGAAAAGAGAACAACTCACCTTCAGTACCATGGCGCCTGGGCGGGTGCCGTAGGAAAATGAAATATGTTCAAATTTGATGGTCACGGAATTCAAATCAAACTGGGGATATATTCCCTGGTCAACTGGAATTGCTGATTTGCGATCAAGAATTAGCCAAATTTTTGAGAAAGCGCGAATGGCGTTTCTCATGTCGACTCCGAAGTGTGAAGACCTACCAAGAGCCTGGGCGGCAAAATTGATGGCCGCGAACACTCTAGAAACAAAGGAATTGTGTGTAAGGAAATGTTGCTGTGAATAAAGGATTAGTAACCGAACATAGCTCAATGCAAGCATGCAGGAAGAGCTAAAAGCTTCACCAGACAGCAATCGGATAAAACAGTCTCGCATAATGAGCCAACAGTGGAATGAGTCGAGGCGAAGTTGCGATCAGTGAGTTCGGCAAGGAGGACGAGAGCAACAGTAAGATAAACCCTTCGGACCATCACCCTTAGGTAGTCATGAGACATAGATATAGAAGATGGTTTTATCGCGCATGGTGTTATATGGAATATTTGATCAACAGTGCAGATTAAGCATAGGATACTAGTCACCTGGACAAATTTGTATCTATCGTTACATCGCTCTTCGTCCGTTGTGTGCAGGTAACAGTCTGCTGATCATCTTTGAAGAATAATCTAAATCGTTGTCTTACGTAGTGGGGCCTCCTTATAATGGTAGCCATAATGTTCTTATTTGAACTGGGTATACCTACTTGATCGACAAAGCACCTTGAATTATAGGCCACAAAAAGGAGAACTGGTAATGATCTATACGGTCTACGCCAGGCTGGGGGACAGGCCACCAGCGTGGGCATGCCGTTAATTTCATGGGATTTGAAATGAGAGCCTGTGACGCGGATAAGAACGCAGGAATATCACCAATCAAACTAAGGAATAAAATGATAAAGCTATAAATAAATTGTTACCACCGCAGCTCGTGGACCTAGTTGCTCGGTAGCTGGGTTAAGTAGGAAGAGTGATACGTGGTGTCAATAAAGGAAAAACTGTTTGGCGTATGGTGAATATGCTAATAAATTTGCAGTCGCATAAAGAGAAACGGAGCACCTCAACAATCGAAGTCCGATAGCACTCCACTAATGTCGCATAGCACAAGACTAGGGTGTCATAGGAAGACAACTACACGTGTTAGATGAACTGTTCGCTGAGCTTTGCAACTCTGCAAACGTCTCATCACCAGTCAAGGTGACAACGTCAGTGCGTTAGTGTGTAGCGTAGCGGTGCGTGGGCGTGAACCGGGTGGTAGATCCTGCAATGGATCTACCAGTGAAGGAATGTCTAGCACGCGCCATCGCTGCATCCGTTCAGTATCATCAGAATTCTCAGAAAAACCTGGGCACACATAGACTTTATTTTCGATTGAATACCATCATCCTCACCCTCATTCGACAGAGTACCCTTAGCGCTTTCCAGCGATTCCTTTACGACAAGGATCCGACACTCCATTCAATAGCCGTAGCTCGTTTAACAACCATCATCCTAACACTCGCCAAACTAGCGTGATTTCGACCACGCTCATCAAAACTTTGCCTTCCATCAAGCCGAAAGTCGGCCTGACGGATAGCCAAGCACCCACTGCCTAAACCAGAAAGGTCGCGCATTGACCTCCGTCGCCTTCGTTCGGAACTGTGATAGGAGATTGTCAATAGACATCACGTGCCTGTCCCCACACGCTCAGTGTTGATTGCCGGTAACGAAAAAACGATCGCAATTCACCCACGTGACTGGCGCCTCGGCATGGGTCGCAACACAGCAACACGGAAGACAATGTGTACACGGTCCGCGCAGCCCCAGACAAAAGTTCTTTTCGATTCGATATCGTGCTCTAGGCCTATTCAAATTGGAATAAAATGTAACTAATAAGAAATTCCATCCTAAGTAGTCAAATTTAAGCGTAAAGAAAGTAAAAGAACGACCCTGCACTGTTCTGTACAGGGTGTATGATCAACACACTAGTAAGGTGCATTCGTGTTGGCACAGAAATGTGACAAACTGACAGCGCTTGCGCAGTGTACTACGGCTGGTATAGCGGTCGCATCGGAAACAGTTGCAGTTGCCTAAACGTTCTTCCAACTTGGAACAGAGTAGGCAAACTACTATATGGTTAACAGCGTAGAACGGGCTATCCCAACCAAGAGAACCAACAAACAGGCAGGGGGTTACTAGGGTCCGCCAACCTCGGCCACCTCAATGGTGTGGGGACTGCTTTTTCCCGATAGTGTCTGTGTGGAATGTTAGTTACTCCATTGCATTTGGGTTTACCTAACACTACCGAAATTCTGACAGCATACACATCCGTCTTTGCTGCATTCAGACCCAAAGCGAAGTTAGGGGTTACGTCTACAACTATTCCAGGGAGCGACAGAAACGACACGAATACCCATGCGCCTCCGAGATCGTCTACCACGCCGCTAGGTAAAGGAAGCACTCTTTTATCCAAAACTATGAACTTGAGGAAGATAATATGCTCTAATGTGTCTGAGTCAAAGGCAAACTACTGGATGACCTGAAACATTTGGAATCTATTTGCTAAGCAATGGGAATCCAGGCCGAACAGGCTGGTTTGTTTAGTATCGTCCGCCACTCAAACAGTTCACTATAGCGAGTCAAGGCTACTTCGGGGGACATTTCAATCGGGAGAAGAAGCGGACACCGTTTCCTTGTCAGCTCATGCTGACACCCGTTGGAGCGAGAAACGGCAAAGAAAGCAAAACCCAGGATGAGACCGCGAGCGAAACGACGGAAAATCGAACTTTGTCTATGGTATCCACGAAATCTAGCCTTCCTAACTTATGACTTGGAAGAGTGGCGCCACATCCGCGAAGCCTTCTCTCCCCACGACGTGATTACCAACCCACCGTCAAGGTCACTAATAAAAGCCATAAAGAGCGTGATCCAATGGTGTTGAAAGTCCGCTATACTCCAAACAAATGGTTGAAAGGGTGCTCGGGACTTGGCACAAGTTACGTACCAAACTCCCATCAGAGGTATGTCTTGAGGCGGTCGGAGCCAAATTACCGTTGGGTGAGAAAACACAAAACTGGCGAGGTTTTGTCGCTATCCCTGCTGTTTGCATTTTTTGAACCGGAGCGTAATGCAACTCCCCAGCTGTCCGAAGAGGAAGGAACAGGCAGTCAGCCGCAATCCATCTCTGAAGAATTAGGTCAAACCTGCCTAAGGCGACCACTCAAGGGATCGACAAAAAGTGGTCGCCTTGGACAGGTTCATACATAGGGACATTACTCATAGGAGAAAACTTCGAGGATGTTTCGGGCTGGTCGCCATAACAGGTTGGCGTGTAACTGGTGCTCAATGCAACAGCGCGAAGCGGCCTTAGGCGGCAGACCAGAAGTACATCCAGAAAACGATCGTCAGCAAGCCCCACAAAGATTGACGTAAATTCGTGAGAATCGTTTGTGTGTTCAGATACGCTTCTGACATTCGCTGCTCGCAATCGTTTGTATACAAACGAACATAGCCTTCTCACTAAATTGGCCTCAACGCGTTGGTACCACTTCATGGCAACTGACATGGCTGAACGACCTGAATACAGACACCGAGATCGCACTATCCGGTATGTAATCGTTGCGCAACGAGCGACTCACGAAGGGTGGCGATGTAATCCTCTACTCACGTTCCGGCCTAAACATCGACTGCGCAAACGACCCAAAAGTTCAAGTAGTGGATGCATTTTTGATGCCGCATACATCTAAAGCAGAGCGATATATGCTTAGTGCCCACATTAAAAATTGACCAGGCTCTAGCCTCCGATATGAAAAACCTAATGACACGATTTTACAGCCACGTTCTCCTCCACCCCCTAGAATACCTGGCTAATCTCAGTAAGCAATCCAAGCGGAGCTGCAAAGGGTAATTGCTGATTCACTGCTGCACAAGCATGTCAATGCTCCAATGCGCTTCCGGACAGGAAACAAACCGGCGGCAATTTTGGATCACATTTTTCCAAACGCGGATTTCATCATCGACGTAGTAACAACGTGCACCTTTTTGGGCCGCAGCGATCATGCGCCACTAGTATTCCAATACATGTGCTACGCAAAGTATTTTAGAGAAAGTACCGAAAAATTTCACGCAGTAACTGACCATGGTGCTACAAACTGATCTTTGCTACCCGAATGGTCCCCTGAGGTGCCCTGCGGGAAAATTATCAACAGGCTCGTGGCAAGCACATCTGAATCCAAAATTCACCGTTCGAAGAAGATAAAGGACTCAGAAATACATGACATCGAGATACTCAGCATAGCTCACCCACACAGCCTCTCCGAGCGAGGACGCCTGGGATGTCTATGAAACACAAAGGAACCGCTGCGTCATACTCGTCCTGGAAAATAAAGTTAAGAACCAACAAAATTCTGCTATAATCCCAAGTTACTATACGGACACGTAAATAAACTTCGCAGGGTTAAACGCAGAAGTGCTGCCCTGCACACAGCATGCGGGTTAATACAAACGGCACAAGAGGCGGCCAACGTTCTTGGATAACAGTTTGGCTATATCTTCCAAAGGGAACAACCATCTTACATCCTGCTTACTCAGATTATGTCGCCATCAGGCCTTGACAACAATTCCTTTACAACTACAGCTGTACATAGACAACTCATGTCCTTGCGCGAGTATAACTCCCCTGGTGCAGACAGCATTTGACTAAAGGTATTGAAAGTGGCTACCACGAGTTTAGCTGAACCGTTAACAGTACTCTGAACGTGATGCACCTCCCCACGACGTGGAAGCACGAGATCATCACTGCAGTCTATAAAAGTGGTAGCCGTGCAGAACCGGCAAATGGTCGCCCGATAACACTACTTCTGGTGGTCCCAAAGATCATGGAGTCCGTAGTTGCTGAGACACTCAAGGGGTAACTTGAGAATAACAAAATTCTCGTTCCGGAGCAGCACTGCCCTATACTACTAACCTGTTGATAGTCGTGCATGCTGGACGGAATATATGGATGCTAGTGTAGGAGTAGATGCCACAGGCATTCGACCATCTGGACCATCGCATTCTACTTCACAAGCTTAGTTATAAAATCAGCGATCTCATTCTGGGCGCAATAGGCAACTTCCTCTATCAACGTCACCAGAATATGAGGGTTTTCAGCACCTTATCCGAATCAGTCGAAGTCCAGGGCGGCCGTATCTCAGGCTCGGTACTCCGGCCCGTCTGTTCTTGATCTGCATAAATGATCTCGCGAGGATACTATTTTCAAATTTACTACCATTTGCGGATGATCTAAAGAGATGGCATGCTATCACCACATTAGAGGGTCACACAGCCCTATAAGATGACTTGGATGAAGCATACATATTGTCCATCGAGAACATGCAGTTCAACACGGCCCAGTGCGAAGTTCTCAGTATACGCCATCAGAGTACCCATAACTACAGACTAGGGCCACAGATTCTACAACGGACTTCTCATGAGTGCGATTTCGGCGTGCTCGCACAAAATGATCTTGGTTGTTTGAGGCAGACTGAAAGGGCACCAAAGAAAGCAAACCAGCACTTCGGCCTTCTTCGTAGTGCGGGAAGTTCGACGCCACAATCCTTCCGAAAATGCTTGGTACATACGTTGTCCAAGCGTGGCAACCGCGCTCGATACTGCACAACGCAGTATGACGAAGAGCGTTAGAGGTTTGTTCCACCTATCCTACTCATTCAGACGGAACTTGTCGGTGGCTACAGAGAGATCGCATAATAGTGTATCAGATCCTAAAATACCCCAATCACACATGCCACCACATTTGAATATGAGCCAATACACATATCTGAGGGGTCATAAGTTTAAGTTGGCCACGCAGTACAGCCGACTGAACTACCGATGAAACTCCCTCCGAGTGTCACAGCCACCGAACAACCTCACGGCGCGTGTAATTAACGCCCACACTTTACCCAACTCAAAAGAGGCCTTGACGACACCCAGACATATTTCCACTAGGTGATAGCGCATGACCATAAAATGACGGAATTAGTGCAGAACAAACAGTGGACGGTGCAATAATCCTCTCAAGCGACAGACAGGAAGGCTCACAAATGCTAATGCAAAACTCTTAGTGAGTCACGTAAGTAGCGCGCTCTTTTACCGACACTGCTTTATTAGCTTGTAAATTTCACCCTAACCATCCTACGCGACTTGTCAAGCATTTGCTTTTCTACTCGTTATAAACCATTGCCCCATCGTAATCAGTCGTTTAGGCACGTGATCCTTGAAAATGGCCTCTTTGACCCATGTCTCCGCAGCTGAAAGTGTTGATTGAGCCGTTTGTATGGTTTCCATTTTCATTTCGACCGCAGTGATGGCCCTATGCCCGTAGATCTACGTCCCACTCAACGTGTCGATTGACTGTATAATTCGCGGAGCCATGCTTCTCAGAATTCTCATGACTGCTTCCTATCTCTACATGCTAGTGTTTACGTTTTCCAGGTCAAAAAGACGACTAGTTTCATCCTTGTGTATTGCAACCGATGAATAAGGATCATGCATTCTTATGGCCTTCTTATGCTCTGTGATTCGTGTGGAAGGCTTTCTTCCTGTATTTCTGATGCACTGCTTATCATTCACTGCAGTTTACCTGTTAGATGACATGGATTAGACCCCGTCGTTTAACTTTGTCCTTTGTCTTGAAAGCAATCCTCTTGGTTTGTGTGCTACAGTGATTTTGTGTCAATGAAGTAATCGTGCTGCTAGTTCAGAAACGTTCTTGATACGCGGAAGCACTACCCGTTTAGTAGTCTGTTCTGGTCACTGCTGAGATGTTCTACTCTTCAGACTTTTTCTAATAAAGTCTCATGGATATCCGCTGTTTTGTAACGAGGTATGGATGATTCTGTTCTCAACCCCATTGTGCTGCAGTGTGTTTTCGCTCCCTTGTATAGAGGTTGGATACAGCTCTTTTGTGTTCCATCGGGTGGTTACAGCGGTAGTTCAATATTTGATCTGTGTGTGTCTTCCTATATACACAAATTTGAAGTGTTCCGTCGGTGTCCCTGTGAACCAGAACATACAGGAATTACAATTTGTTGCCTTAGTACAATTCAAAGATTAACTTCATGTTCTTGATACTTTTTAAAAAAATAAAGAGATAAGCGAAATCGATGGACAAGAAGTTAACACAGTGGAAAGTGGTAATCTTCAAAGGAGAAAAACCGTTTTTGTGTTTCGTGGTATGAACAATTATGGATTTCAAAAATTAATTGACCGAACAAGCGGTACCACTGATACATAACTCAGTTTGCCGGTTTTCATGGAAAAAGGTAGAATGCAAAATGATACGTTACCTAAAGATGGCTATCAGAGAGATTTCGTTCTGAGACATCAGCATTCCGCCGTAGGAAAAAGCAGCAGCATAAGAGCAGATGGGAAGCGACTGGGCCAATGCATAAACCAAACCGAATGCAAGAGACTTCAACCTGTGGGATCTAGGAGGGAAAAGATGAACATGCAGTTAACGAAAGTGGAAGAATATTATCCGAGAAAGATAGCAAGCCTCACTTTTTTTCTTCCTGAAGAGCAGTAGCATATTTTCGATGAAAATGACTTTCCAACCCAAGGGCACTAACGGTTCGACTGGAAAACAGGGCTTCATAGGCCACCTGAATTGCAACGTTGTCCCGGTTTTCTGCGACGTTACCTTTCAAGTGACGAACCTACAAAAAAGATATTTTGTGGCACCTAATATTTGAGCCAGACTAGGAGATGAAATTGTGAAAAATGATTCACGTAACCTTCAGCGGTGAACAGTATAGTGGCCGCGCAGACAAGTTCGTTCATGCATACTGAGTAGTACTAAGCGTCACATGAGTTTCAATATCAGTCCGTTAATGAAGAATGGGGTGTACAACGATAAAAAGACACGGTGAGTGTGCGCTATAGAAATGGAGATAGGTATCATCTTTAACTACTGATCTTATGGAAATATTGTTCATGTCTACTTAGACCAGAGAGTGAGCGATACCGAACATGATAGAATTTTAAAGAGGTTGACCACCAGTACCGTCGACGTTTGCCAGATCAGGTCCATCCCGGGCACGTATCTTTGCCGCCACCGCGGAGACCAACCAGTGAACTAGTAAAGCCAGTGAGAAGCTTGGTGTGGTGGATGGGGACCCGGCATACACTATATGAGTCGGTTGAAATCCTATGCGACAGGACACAGTCACGCAGTTAAGGGCGCTCTTGCATTCACTTTATTGCAACTAGCAGCCAATGTGCCATTGCGATCAATCTTACCAACCATTTATCCACCCTCTTTTCTTCATAATTAGCGTACTATGATATTTTCCCAGCATAATTAATTACTTTTATAGAGTACACTGTATTTCGACACTACCATACGACCGTACCCACGGACACCGCAGATTTTTGAAGTACCGTGTTCTTTATTTTATTTTTGCCTCCGGATTACTGCATTATACGTGTTTTCTGTGTGAATTATGCACCAACATTCTTCCTTTGGTGTACTTTTCAATCTGCACTAATTTGGTGGATATTCTCTGGTTACTTTCGGAGATCTCTGTGATTGACCCAATTGCTGTTTGAGTCCACCATTTTGGATTTGTTTGTGACCCTGTCAACTAGTGAAACTGCATACTACTGGAAACGAGGCACAGCCAAATCAACTCTATCGACAGCTCACTTGACCTTTACAACTTCAACGATTGCTTGCCCGATGCATACCGCCACGGAAGTCGGAAAAATTATCAGTCCTCCCACACCAGGCCGAATAGCAAACATCGAGTAAGTGTACATCCAAAAGAGCTCCAAGCTAAGGGTGTTTGTGGGTCAGGAGAATGTAACAGATTAGTCAAACTCGACTTAATTTGCTCGCATTATCCAAGTGGTGTCATCTGAGATGTGCTAGCTTATCCCAACAGCAGATGCGAGAGATGAATAGCTCTCAAAATGTCCTTTGGTTCTGTAGTACCTGTTCGGCTATCCCATTTGTCAAGTGCATGCTTATCCGAGTCCAGAAATGAAACCGATTGGTATCAGAAGCCAAGCAACAAATGAACATTAAGATACACTCATTGGAAGAAAGTCTGAACCAGTTAAACATGGGGACATTTAATCAAAGGAATGGTACACAAGTTGTCGCTCCTGAACCACGCTCAGCCAGGTCCCGATCGCCATTGTGTTCCGCATCTTTGACAGAACAGCAGGCGAAAATTGACCGGGAGGCAAACAGTGCCCGTGGCAACTAAAATAAGGCATTAACCAAAACGCGTGAGCAATCAAATACCACCAGTCTTGATGACACATGTATGTAAAAGGGACAAGGCAGCCGAACAGCAAGCCTCAGCGTCTGCAGCTCATGGGTCTACTGTCCAACCAAAGTCCCCTAGAACATTAGGCACATTTGTCGCGATTACTGCAAAGTTCACCCGAGAGGCCACCCTTACAGTTTCTTCTGTTACAAACACCACAAACTTGAATAGAGAAACAACCAGTAACCAAGCATCACTTGGTACCAAGTCAGGACAAGCGATCCCAGAGCCTTACAGCTCAACGAAAAAGGGATCTAATAATAGTGCCCTGACTGTTGTGTGCTCGAACGTACTCGAATCAGCAGCTATCACATTGCAAGATAAACTGTCCGACCTACGTAAAAGGCAAAACCCACAAACAGTATGAATTACTCGTCACCCAAACTCTGTACACTTTGGCGAGTAACACTAAAATCCTCAATTGATGTGGAAAATGTTCTGTTCTCCACAAACGCACTGCAAAATGGATCGTGCGGGATAACTATATATCCTGAGGTTCCGTAGAACATGCGACAGTCGAGAAGAAAGTTCGAAGAAGGACACAGCATGTCTGATCGCCTAAACACTACCTTCATCCATGGTGTGCCAGAGGTTCCTTCACACGATAGTCAAGAGGCCGGAAGTCACAATTTCGAACGATGGCGATTCCTCCCCGAAACCCTTTCCTTGAATAATGTTATGGCGCAAGTGCTCAAAAGGTTATCTCTCTCGCCAAAGTATAGAGGATGCAGCCCGAGAATTTAAAAACTCGTGCTTCAATCCGAGCAACCAGCGACGGATGTGTTAAATAGTTGGCGTAAAAATCGAAAAAGCTTTCTATTGGAACTTCGTTTAAGGCATGCAGATGCTTCGGAACGTTTAGTTACAAACTAATCCGAGAAAGCAGACGTACCGGTGATGATTGCTCCTGTACCCGACAATGACGTAGATCTAGATGAGGGTTGGGACGTGCCTTGGCCACAGCAAAGTACGGAAGTAGTACCAGTATCTTATCAAAAAATCAAATAACGGCCGATCTCACATCGGTCGACACTCCCATACACCTGACTTCCTTGCCCCCTGTGACCGACTAGAGACCGATAAACTAGCATGCTTGTACACGAATGCTCAGGGCCTCTTCACTAAGTTGGTTTACTGGTTTCAGGCTTACGTTCGGTAATATACGGTACATGACAAACTGAGATTGGAACATGCAACATGTTCAAGCGGAAATGGATGCACATTGTGTAAGAAATGGATCAAGCAAGTGGATAAGGAAGTGCGATGTCGGGATGGTAACAGTGACAGAAAAAAGTTGGAACTCACGTTAAGAAAGCTCGAAAGAACGACGACAGGGACGAATGCGGTTACAACCAGGGTAAGTTTCCAACTATAATGAAAAGCGATTGCCAGAGAAAGAACGACAAGTACAGACGACTCCACGATACGCCCCATCGCAGATCCGCAGAGAGGACGAATTTTGTTGGTTTCACAGGCCAGCATGTTGGTAAGCCGGCCGATATGATTGTCTGGGTCCTCAAACCAGGCCAACTCCTGCAGGTATATATAATCACACAAGCAGCATATATCCAATAGACTGATAGTTCAGGAACAGAACCAATGTCAACAGCTACAGCCCGATATTTGGCAGGTTTGTTGCAACCTCTAACAGGGAAAACAAATACGTTCGTACGGAATTCTTATGAGTTCGCGCGAAAGATAGCAGGTCCGGCCATCGCGCCAGACGAAATAATGGTTAGTTCCGACGTTAGCTCCCTATTCACTAACGTGCCCAAGGATGACGCATTTGGTGTAGCACAGCGTTGTCTTACTGAGGACAATAGCCTGGAGCAGCGAAAGAAACTCAAGGTAGATCAGATAATCGATGGAATTAACGTATGCCTTAATATATCATATTTCAAGTTTAAGTCGAAACTGTACTCTCAGGAACAGGAAATTGCCATGGGGTCACCAATATCCCCCGTATTGGCAAATCTGTATATGGAAGACTTTGAGAGAAGGGCGCTGACAAATTCCAGTAGTTCGCCAAAGATTTAGTGGCGCTACGTGGATGATACGTTTGTGATTATAAAGCGAGATATGAAGGATGCGTTTCTAAATCATCTGAACTCCATTAATGGTAATATAAACTTTACTAGGGAACTAGAATCTTGCAATGGCACACTGCCATTCCTCGATTGCCTAATTCACAGGAACGGTGGACGGCTAAAGACGACGATATACCGCAAGCCGACAGATACAGACGGAGTGTTGCATTACACTTCGGATTATCCAAAACAAGTCTGTGCCGCTATCGCATCCTCTCTGTTTCACAGAGCCCAGACTCTGTGTACAGAGGAGGAGGACAGGAATGCCGCTCGTAAGGAGACGGTGAGCAAATTAGTAGACAGTGGATATCCAAGGCGGTTAGTGAAACGCCAATTGCAGAGAGCTCTAAATCCACCGCGACGCACAACGGAGTGGATTGGGACAGTGGGGATCCCCTATAAAAAGGAACCTTAGAAGCAATCAGATGAGTACTAAACAAGGAGAAAATAAGAGTGGTTTTTCGAAAGGGTCAAACGCTCTATTCAGCACTTGTGCGTTTGAAGGATCCACTTCCAAGAGACAGGACGACAAATTGTGTTTATAAAATCAATTGCAAAGATTGTGAATACGTGTATATAGGTCAAACAGCGAGAGAGCTACGCACGAGGATAGCAGAACACAAGAGGTACGTTTCGCGTCCACCCAGAAATGAGCCTGAATACAGGGCCCTAGTAAAAGATTCAGCGGTGGCCGTACATGCGTTAGAGGCAGGACACGCGATTGATTGGGACAATGTCGAGATACTTAGGAGGGGATTACCAACAACAGGTCAAAGGTTGATTGCTGAAGCGATCGAGATTACTAAGACTAATAACTGTGTAAACAGAACAGACGGGATGGAGTTATCGAACGCGTGGCGGGCTGTGTTAACCCGGTCAGTCGGAAAAGGTGTCGGCGGACGAACTCAGGTCGGAGCGTGAATCAGCAGCTGCAAGAAAGGAATGCCTCACATGTGAACGACCGGTGACGTGGATCAATGAGAAACGCTCGATGCTTGTTGTTTCACTAGCATGACCACTTGTAACACTATTATCCAATGGCTCGTGTTATGTCTTGCAACCTTCAACTTACGTTCCCATAAAAAGCTAAGCCAATTTTGTAACGATTCAAATGGCCTGAAGAAGCTCTCGTGTCAAGGGCGAAACGTTGCCACAATAAAACCCTACCAAAACCGATTTGTATTCAAACCTTCTGAAATCGTGAAATCCCAGTCGGTTCCAAGCGCATTCCGAGATATTGAATTAACAGCTACAGATTCAAATACAGTGCGCCACATGAATGTATAGTCAGATAAAACTGTCAGAGGACAATGCGAGTATGAAGAGCAAACGTAAGGGGTGAAACGAGCGAAAATTGGAATAGGTTGCCAGAGTTTATGCGAAATACAATGGAAACATGTTTTGGGAAGGAATATGCATTTGTGTGTTGCAAAGTGAACATCTGATGGCATGGCATCTATTAAGAAAGGTGAACACAGGACTTTTCACCTTATAAAAATCAACACCCGCCTAAATGGTCCTCTACTCCGATACTGCAATCTTGGTTTTTAGACTCCTCAGGTTGAAATAGCCGGTGCATAGTGGCATACCGATGACGCGTTGAGCCCTAGGGCATTGCGTATCGCGAGATACACAAAAACCCAGCAAGAGTCTCTGTGCAGTGTTAATCGCGCAGCTCAAGGACCGTCAATCAATACGTGCCGCATCCCACTTCCAGATCGAGAAGGACAACACAGGCCGTGGAATGCAGAGTTGAGAGCGAAAAACACTGATCTTCCAACTGTGATTGCGATCTCCAAAGTCGGAATGAACGGAATCCATATCAAAGCACATCGTGTTACCAATGGGGATTACGTGTCGCAAATAAAGCACACCGCGTACTAAAAAAATCAACTCCAGCTCGGTTTACCATCTAGAAAGCATAACACATTACTCAGACGGAAGTAAACGTAGGGTAAAAAGGATCAAATTAAATTAGCAAGTAATACGTGTGAGTGTGATGCATATCAAATAGAATATTTTCAGAAGACCAGAGGCTCAGGAAGTAGACTGCTCATCATTAACGAGATGCACCGCCGCATGAAGGATGATGTATGAGGAACAGAGACAAGCCTTGGATGCAATCTACAAAGGGCGACGGGGTGCCCTATTGGCAGAAGAACCGTTACGCAGCCAATCTGAGGTGGGGAGGAATGGCTTTAACCCAGCACAGCAGATAACCTTGGCTATCCAATCAGACCTATACATACAACTCATTGGAAATCGAGCATTTAATTAGATCTTTGCGCACGAACTCACTTGACGTAAGATGGCTCGGAAAAGTAATATTCTTAGTCGTTTGACGAGCCTCTCCCCGGCAACTCCGAAGAAATATGCCTAGAAAATGATACGGCGAATCGATAAACGTCACAAATGAAGCACTGAAGTCGCATTTACTTAATGATGAAGAGATGCAATCGACAGGACATAGGTTGATCAAATTTGGGGGGGGGGGCTAATAGACGTGATCGCTGATTACACCAAATAAACCGGAACCAGGCAGTGTTGGAGGAGAATGGAAGTGATTTGACTCACCTGTACAGTTGAGCTAACCAAACGCAGCAATCCAAGGAACGTCATTATCCCTGTGAGCAGGTTAATCCGAGCGTCCATGCTCCGGGGATTACCGGACATTGTGAAAACCTGAGTTGTTATGGGAAAGGTAAACAGATAGAAAATACCACATGCTGACGCAGTTGATGTGAAACGCACTGCGGCAAGTTTTTTGACATGAGGATAAGGTTACGGCGAACATAAGTACACAAGATACAGCGCAGGTGATTTGGTATTGGCCCCCTAACCGAATTTGACGAGAAGGAATGGGGCAATTACCATGGAAACTAACACAACTGCGATAACAACGGTTTATGATTCACAGTAGTGAATGCTAGACACAAATGGTGCGATGTGAACAATTAACGCTGGTGACAGTGTGTTTGGCGGCTGTCGATGTATGTTGGCCCCCTCAGATAAAATAATCTGAATACAGCAATCGATAACAGGATTATCACAACTAGATGGAGGAATAGATTTCTTTAGACGGCTTCGTTATTCAGAAATAGATGTACAGCCCAGCCAGGGTGGTGAGAGTTCATTCTGGAAAAATATTGAGGATCCATGGGAAGCGATCGAGGCATCAGAGGGAAAGCGGCGTCAGGAAGTCATACACTGAAGCAAATGATATCAACCATCGATCGTTATGAAAAATAGGTCGTAGCAAGATACTTGCTTTCAAATAGGTGATTTAGTCGGAGTTAAAATATCGACCCTTGAATCAACCATGAAAAGTAGTATCGAAAGAGGACAGACATTTAAAAGGTTATGGAATAAGATGCGCATATGAAAAGCCAGTGCTCCGGAAGCGATACTAGAATACAGCAAGCATGTAAAAAAGCCGATAAAACCATTTGGGTTATGGATTTGTGTTTTATATCAGTAAGATGATACAGATTAAGCGGGACAAGTCAACTAAGACACTATGTGGGATTGCAAATTGTGCTGGTTGACTGGATAGGTAGAAAAAAGCAAAAGTGCTGTAGGAGGGCGTAAAAGAAAGCACCGTACAGGCCAACTGAATATTGTATTGTGGAGCAAGCAGAAATAAATTCTTTACAACTCCTTCGAAATATGCTGAAAACGTTATAAAAATTGTCACCCGTGAATATCGGTATCGTTCTCATGTAACATTTAAAATATCTGACTGACAATATTGCGGGACATACAAATGTGAGATATCATCAAAAGTGTGCAATCGTTCTCTGAATCGAATAGTGGCGAAATATAAATTCAACAACGTTTTGAACTGCTGCCCAGTTGTGGCCTCTGTCACATGTTCAGGCAAACTGTTCCAAATATTTGCTACTCTGTTCGAAGCACAGTGGGTGGGGCACTCACTTTACATCCGATATCAAAAGTGGGTATTTGTGTCCGCGTGTGCTGCATGGTCCTCGTAAGTGCAGCGTTCGCCTTAGCATGGTAAAGTCATCGAGATGTAGAATACGGTAGGTCATAATGATGTCGACTCGCACCCGATGGTAGGAAAAATTGTAGAGTCCTAGTCCCTCGTACCGGTCTTCATACCGTAAGCCACGTAAACTTAGGATGAGCCTGGTAGCAACATGTTGCATCCGTTCGATCTTCTGTGCCTCGCGTCGGGTAATCGGAAATTAGGCGGCAAACTGTACTCTTGCATTTGTCTAATAGTGGAAGAGAAGAGGCGAGTGGCAACCTCTGCAAACCATGTGCCGAAGCTACGTTTGAGCGCCCAAAGCATGCGCAGTGCGTTACGATATAACCTGCTCGTGTTGTCCAGCTCGAGAGTACACGCAGGTCCTTCACAAAGGGTGTGGGATATAGCAGTTGGCCGTCAAAAGTTTAAGTTCGGTCATCAGCACATATACCCAGGCTCATAAATACAGACTTGGCTGGATTGACCGGGAGATGAACTACTGTAGACCGTATGGATAGGCGGTCGAGGTCTTGCTGAAGTAGGCCACAGTCGTCGGGAGCGTCAATTTCTCTCCAAATCTTCAGGTCGTCCGCAAACAAGGTAGATCGTTGATGTGAATCAGGAACAGAGTAGGCCGCAGCACAGTGATTTGAGGTAGCAATTTGCAGATGGATACCAGTGAGTTAGATGGTCGCCGACCTGTATCCTACACTTTCGTGCAACAAGAAAGTCGCGGATCCGCTGGTGCAGTGAGCTACCGACACCGCACATCCTGAGTTTGTGAATGAGGACTCATGGCTAAGCTTGTCGAACGCTTTACTGAAATCGATGAATATCACATCGACAGACTTTACCTTGCTTATGGTCTGCAACCACTCATGCCTCATAACAAGCGAGTTTGTAACGCACCAGCGAGTTGGGATAAAACAGTGCTTTTTGGGCGTCAGGACCTCTTTTGATTGTAGTATTTGCAGCAATCTCTTCTTCACGATTTTCTCAGCGAATTTGCCATAATAGGTGTCAGTCAAATTGACCAATAGTTGTCTACTTTGCTAGGGTCGAAGCCTATGCGAATAGGTTTCACAGGTTTCCAGGCAATCAGCAACAAACCTTCGGACAGCGACCTGTTGAACAGGTCAGTCACGACAGCAGAGATGTTGGTTGAAAGTAACTTGAGAATCAGTGGGTGAAGCCCATCAGGTCCGGCAGGTTTGGTGCCGTCAAGGCTGGCGAGTAGTTGACATACTTCTTCAACGCCGCAATCCAGACTGTCGAGTTCGGTAAAGCGGTACACGTCGAACTCGGAACAGACACCTGGTCATTTGCAAATACAGAAGCGAAGTGCGCCGCCAACGCGGACGCACGCTCAGTGCTGGAGGTTAGGGGCTGTCCGTCCGGGCCATCCAGCACTGGCACATCACCTGCCGGCTTCAGGCGTCGCTTCACGTAAGCAAAGATTCTCTTTGGGGCGGTCTTCGCGGCGATTGCGAGCTGCTCTTCGAAATGTCGGCGCTTATTCCTTTTTGCACTGTTGCAGAGGTTCCGCTGACTTTTATACCCTTCGTAGTCATTGGCAGAGCCAGAGAGGAGGAATCTGTCCCACAGTCTGCGCCGCCTCCGAGCCAGATTTCCATACTCCTTGTCAAACCAATGAGGCTTAATCGGTCCAACCTTCCGACCCATCAAAGGCACAAACTGGGAACACAATGACATCAATCTCGCTTTTATAACTGTTCAACAGTCTTCCGGAAATGCAGCTTGAGACACAGAGCAATCCAGTCGGCTCGCGTCTAGAGCTAGACCGTCAAAGTCCGTTCTCCAGTAGTTGTAAGCTGGATCCAGCGGACGTGAATACTGCAAAGACAATTCCATATCATCTATGAGCATTGTGTGGTCACTTGTAGCCAGGGGTTCCAGGATCCGAACGTCACGCACTCGTTATTCGTAGGTCATTAACATCAGGTCGAGACAGGACGGGGTTGAACGTGGTGTTATGCGTATTGGCTGGCATATGTGTTGCGAGCACCAGTTTCAAGTACCAAATACAAGAACATTGCTTCAACTTCAACAAGTCCAGGCATCAAATGCGCATCAGGCCATCGTATTGGAAAACAGTTAAAATCACCCATAACTAGAAAGTGTGGACGACTCATGTGGGGTCGAAGATGGGACAGCCAATCCAAACAACGACTCAGGGGGCTGCGATAGACTGCGCCCACAAGTAGTTCTCCGCGCCTGAGGTGAATGGAGCACCACAGTAGCTCACACAAACCATCGTCACTTCGGTAGGTGCTCACAAATCTCCCATGCAGGGAAGATCGGATGTAGAGCAAGACACCACCGCGGGCATTCGTTAGTCTATCGAATCGGAAGCACGAGTAACCGCTGAGTTCAATTTCCTTGGTGTATAACTCTGAATGCAGCCACGTCTCTGCGAGTCCCACTACGTCTGGCCGCTCAGACGCAACGAAACGGCAAAGCTCATCGCGCTTGTTCATAACACTGCAAACGTTAGTAAAGGCTACACGCAGGCCGCAGCAGGAACCGTCGGGCGTGCTTGAAGTGTGAGCAACCTGTTTATCCTGATTCGCAGATTCTTGGAAACCACCCGAAAATTTACGATACGAAGATTTGTTTCCCCTCACTGGTACGTCTTTTTAGCTAAATGATGGCAGAACTGAGCCGTTCCCGGTCTACTGGCTGCAGGTCTGGACAAACATGGATCTTCAAGCCTTTCAGCCTACTTAGGCGGAACAAGATCAGTCTTGGAGTGGTTTCGTCCACCAAAGTGATTCTCATAGGTCGATTTTGTTTGATCACCTTGCTGTCCAAGACGGGTAAATTGCCTCACGTTTACCGAGTCTTCATCAGCATCGAGGGATATGTCAATTAAACTCCGAAAAAACTCGACATCGTGATCGTACCGCACCCGGGGTGATGGATCACTGGACTCCGGCGCGTGGAAGATCACGAGGTTATAACGCCTCTGCTCGGACGAGGTTGATCTTGCAGGGCGAAGTATATTACGAGTCTCACGTGTTGTGGCTAGCTGTAATTTTGTTCTTTCCACTGGTCTTCAGCACTCAGGCTTTCACCAACTGGGACGTCAGTGCTCGTAAGACACAAGAAAAGTAAACTGTTTACGCCAGGTTAAACTGGGCTTCTCACAACGCTTGGACTTCGTGCCGACGAGTTTGCACGGGTAGAGGAGGAAGACTGAGTTGAAACCTGAGGACTCTTCGGGTTGTGTTGTTGGACCAACCACTCGGAGCTGTTCCTAACGGAATGATGAAGCCTACACGTCGGCTTCACTCTTTCTGGCTTTATGTTGTTTCGGCAATTTTCACATAAAAGGAAATCGTGTTGAATTTCACGAAGACGACGAAAATGATCAACTGATGATTCAACACATGAAGTGTGGTATTTAATTTGACACAAAACACGCATGAGGGCATCTGCACGATATTCGACTATCTTGGAACAAGTACCACAGGGTGATTGCTTCGGCATGATGAATAATCCGAAAATAAGGTGGCGACCAATTGCTGGGGAAAATGGCGATAACAAGATCGCCGAAACCAAGCGGTGATAAGGCAAGTATTCATGGTGGAAAAATTCAGAAGCAGAATTGAAACTGAATGGTATCTAAATTTCCACGAAATAATTCCAGTGAACGAAGAAATCCAACACAAGTGATTTTGTCAATAGAGCCATAAATAGCCGACTGGTTGCCGATATTCTTGAGGATACCTACTAATCAAGATCCACAACACTATGCTCACATGGATTTATTGACGAAGATCGCAACGTTAAGAAGAGCCTTCTCTTCTCAGCTTACAAAGTGCACACGAACTGAAAGTAGGATTGAAAAAATGACGGCAAGAAGTGAACTACGCCGTATACCGTTTGCACCGCCTGTGCGAAAGAATCTAGGCAAAAGGATGCAAGGATTCAGCTCGGCCTATCAACACCATGTGATATTTCGTGTTAGAAAGTCATTCGATTGCTAAGTTAAGGTTGGCAAACGCCTGAGGAAACAAGTCATGCATGTCAGTGTAACAGATGATTTGCTTAAGCGTTCAAATCAACAACAATCATAGCATCATGGTGGAAATCGGAATAGGAAATAAAAGTCGTCAATATGGTTCATCTTTAAAAGTACCTAGTATACTATCGATGTGAGAATAGGCTGAAAAAGCGGTTACTTTACCTAATAGCGTTGAGTATGAATTGGTAATGATCTGTGATATCGGGCTGTGCACATCTATTGGTTCACTGAGATCGGATTAAGTGAAGCGCTACTCTCAAGACGACCCAGACACGGTGAAAATCGCCGGTTATCAATCAAGCATACACAAAGGCTAGAGCGATAATCCCGTAGCTGTGGATGCTGATAGAGACCGCATTAACATATCTGGAAAGCCCAGCACACGGCAATTACAGAGGAATGCAGACGCAGAGAAAAATTGGTACTATAGGAGACAAAGACAATTCGTTTTGATCTGCAGCAGCTAGATACCTTCGGAACAGGTAACAATATAATTATGGTAGTGGAGATGATAGTATGCGAACAGGTGAGACTAATGGACTGCTCACTCTTAAGAAGGTTCGTTATCGATTTCCTGCTTGAAGCATTTGACTCCAATGTATGACCCCGAAGGTGATGGTCATCTGTGGTTCCACCGATCTGCTAGAGATATCATTGGGGATCTGTCTGAAGGCAATCGCACATAACAGTTTAGGTAATCCATAATGCTTAAGATCACCGTCACAGCAAATGAGTTTGGTGGCTTTCGACTTGTTCAGAGTCCACTTACCTTGCAGCGGGTGACACCAAGCCAGAGTGCGCTGTGTTGTCGGCTTGCCAGATGAAAGACATTATGCTCTAAGGAGAAGTGAAGGCAACAACAATACGTCGGTACGTCGTACAGGCGCTTCGCCGCTAGCACCAGTCGAGTACACGCTGTGGATAGTGTTGGATAGACGACACTTGCGTAGATTAGAACCGGTGATAGTCGGATTACAAGGAAAGCGTCTTAGACCAATCGGTCGCTTTCTTTGGCTAAATTTGACGGAAGAGGGAAGCACATTCTCTCCAAGCTTCATACGGCAAGTGACGTTTATGATGCGAGTCATTCTAGCGATGAAATATATGCAAACGAATCATTTAGCTAACAGAGCTACCTAAATTGCTCACAGCTCAATAGATCAAGGAAGAACACAAGCAATCGGTAGTGTCAAAGCACAAAAATATAGCGATACCTCGTGTCAAAATGGTTTAACATAATGCACCCGAGTAAAAAGTAGGATATTTCTGACACATGATGGAAAAAAGGAGGGTGGCATCCGGTCCCGTATCCGTATCCGGATTTGCCTGTCACTGTGACGTCCATGGGAACAGTCACAGGACGCCTGCGCCTACATATATATATATATATATATATATATATATATATATATATATACCGCCTTGATTGTCTGAGTCATGTCCTCCGTATGCCCACTGACCAACTTCCCCGGCGTGCATAGTATGCTGTCGCTGCAACAATTTGGACGAAATCGCAAGCTGGTTAGTGGATGACGGAACGTAAAGGCAACATGAAATTGGGTGAAAAGTTTGCTAGGTTGGCGCCTGTCATCTCTGGGGAGATAGGAGCCTGGAGAGGGTGGACATCAATGATTGTAAACTAGACCGGACATGATACAGTCGCGCGTTCGGTTTATTGCATACAGATGTCCAATGCATTCCATTCAGGTTAGTTTCACGCATTTCTTTTTTGATTCCATTTCATTTTTATTCGGTTTGCGTTCAACCACATTCTCTCATTAGTATTGTTCTATTTCTTATCTAGCGACGCGAGTCGTGGCAACCAGATTTAACGCACTTCGATGTCTGTAACAGTTGTTTTGCTGAACTGAACTGGAGTGCTGAGTGGCTGACAAGAATATGCTTTTACCAAGCACCATGTGCCGTCAAAAGGAAAATGACCAATTATGGCAATAAAGAGTGGTAGGTGTTATTCTGCAGTAGAAAGGACAGAATACAAAGCCATAGAATTCTAATGCAGGTGAAGTCGTTTTGAATTGGAAATGTGCAATGATGCAAGAGAGCAAAAAGATTGTGGTACTCACATTATAAGTTTCCGCATACAGAATTGCGAACATCGGTTGAATCAATCCAGACAAGGCAGCAAAAAAACTTCCGGCGACGATAAACGCAGCTTCTGGTTTGGACATTTTCATGACACGTAAAAGTGCTGATGGCTTTAACGAAGAGAAGTAAAAGAAACATTGTGTACGCAGGACAGACTGGGGACAGAAATGTTAAAAGAGTGAAGTGCAGACGAAGAGGTACATGTGCTGCATTTCGCGGATGTAAAGTATCAGCCAGAAAAAGTAAGGTGACCAACAGGCTGATGACCAAACAGGAACTGGTAAACTAGGAAGAACTGCAAACTGGGGGTGGATCATTATTTTGATAAGGCAGTACAAACACGGCAATGAGGCTTCTTCGCTGCACAGCAGTTAACGCATTGCTAACAGAAAAAGAAACTTCAAAGAGAAGGATTTAACTTAAGGTCTAGATGCTCAGAGTCCATATTCAAAGGCAGTGTGGCAACGCTAAGCAAGCTGAGCACTATCACCAAAATTTGCTTTACAAGTTGCCATCGACAAGACAACTTCCTTGCGGCATTCACCGCCACATGTAAACAGCAGCCAAACTCAATAGACAAATTAACATCCCAAACAGGTTAAACACACAGTTTTACGAGGAACGCGTATCACATTCTCTGGGTTGTCGATGCAAGCACAGGTTAGAACACGTGGATACCGGTTTGGAACGCAAGTCGGAATAACAAGCATAACTCTGCTCAGTGATTTCACTTGGCTTCGCTACACCAATATGATTGTCACCGGAGGCTCGCGTCATCTAGAATACGATTAAGCTAGTCCCGGTAGGCAATGAGGTTTGCGTTCAGAAAGTACTTGAATCAACCCAATCTACTCAGGTTTCTTTATGCGATTAACGAGATGACCTGAGCAATGCCGTGATGCACTTCCCTGTGCGACTCGTTGTCGTGCATACGCTGGCGTAGCTCGAAACGAATAATGCAATGCAATCAACGACAGCTGAAAACCTTAGGGTAACTCAGGTCCCTAGACAGAAAGGCCATGTGTTTCGCTGGGTTATGGATAAACTGCCTTAGAGAGTAAGAGAAACTTCTTGCACCAGGTGCGGCAGGTTCACCATGGTTTATGAAATATTGCCAGGGGTGCCAGTTGGTTATTGGTCAAGGAGTTTAAAGCGAAATACAAACTCCACACTCTGCATGTGAGGCATCGTAGCAAAAGACGTAGTTGACACGTCGCAGTGGCACGTGTGCCCAAACAAGGTGGACGCTGATCAGCGATATGGTCTCGCAATAAGCCTTGTGATCAGTGTTATATCTAAACTTGCAGTGGAAAAAGGGTAAAAACAACCTTTTAGTCAACAAATGGTGAATTTCTTCGGTGATCAGACAGTTCATACCGCAGATGGAAAATCCACAACGACCGATGTCTTCGGATTGACCGCGTCCACTTCAAGATCACACGATAAGTCCTGTGAGCAAAAACGTAACGGAAGATACTATTTCGTACCTGTGACAGAAGTAATATTTGGTGAACCAACTGCAATGGAGTGACAGTCGGTCGATCAAAATCAGCCAGACAAGGTGCAATCAAGATAATGTGACGCTGTTACTATCCGGCTAGTCGCGGTAAAAATGCAGTGGGACAGCAATCTATATGAAACAGGCGAGTAAGTCAGAGACGAACAGAATCGTTCGGGTAAAGCAATCTGGGATGACAGCACATGGAAATCAGCAGAGTCAACAATGATGGCCTATGTAACGTTTCAATGCGACTGGCGACTCCAGAAGTCGATGCAAAAGAGTTGGGCGGAAAATGGGTTTTACGAAAAAAACCAACTGACTAGGAGTCTCTCCGTCACATAATCACTATACTGCTTAATTTCATACAGTCCAGTAATGAAACTGAAGACATCTCAAGATCAGCATCATGATAATAATGGTGAATCTCCTTGTTGAAAGAAAGAGGTGTTCAAAATCACGACTAATGGGCGGTTCATGATAGGTGAATAGAACGAAAAATGTGATGTCCATTCACATTTGCATAGAAGTACAACCGTTTCAACACCGAGCGCAAAATTTAAGCGGTATAAAGAACAATTGCACGCACAACTTAGGTAAGAGTCGGGTGCAAATTAACAATAAGATCCCAGGTACCGGCAATGGGCTTTGCGAGCCCACGATCACAGAAATGCAGTATACAGCGAATTCAAGCTCGAATGTGACCGTTAGTGCACTAGGAAAAGCCCTGTTATCCCGGTAAAACGCAATATAGTAGTAATAATTATGATCTAACGCGACGCTTTACCTGTTCCATTGAACAGCCAATTACGCTCATCCAGATGGGGAAATCCAGATCCGCTCCAGTCAGTCCTCCCGACCAACACCGCTGGACAAGCGTAGCTATACCGATACCGGCTAGACGACGGCAATCACGTGCGGTCGTTTTATTAGCAGATCCGGTCTCACGAAGTCTGAAGCCTTGCGGAGTTCAAAGAAACTCGACGCTTGAATGTCTTTCGGTTCTTATCTGTATGTCAATTCCTACTCTTAGTCATGGACACCTTTCCATGAATAACCTGAGACAGCTCCATATACATCACCAACACCACGTATGCCAACGGATACAATCTACATGGAAAGTGGCTGAACGCTTCTCATTAGTAATTCGCTGCCTGTCCGCCCCCTGTGTGGTCTTTTATATCCCACCATTTGCATCTCTATTATGGAACGTTCGGAGTTTCCCTTGTGAAGGTATAATAATTGCTACCGAAGGGCATTAAGAGCTATACTAATAATAATAATATATAAAATAATAATATGTGTAGCTCGAATGTGCGAGAGACCGTCCATGGAATACGGACAGATCATCATTGGGTGTTGAGTTTAGGCTTCGTCTGGGAGGTTCATCTATACCTCAATGGTTGGAGAATGTAGTTCGTGGCGTCCGGTCCCGGAGGTGCTTCCCCCACAATAAATGAAAAACATGCGGATTGGGCTACATCGATCAATTCACTCTCAGTGGAAATCTGAAGGAATGATACCTGGGGAAGTGCGAGTGGGACCGACAATTATTTCGGAGCAGGTCGATGCAAAACGTTGCAGAAAGACGCATGCAGGTTAACAGAGCCGCTCTAGTCAGAGACCGTTTCACAGTGTTCAACGGGATTGACATACATGCCCCACCCAATATATGAATGCTTCATAAATGCCTCCGACATTCGCATATTGAAGTTTGTCGAAGAGGTGGTTGCAAAAGCCTTCGTTCCGTCATATAGAAGTGGATCTCACCATAAATCTGGCTCGCTTGCATCGGTTGTCATCGACATATGATGACCAAATAAGTGTCATTTATGCGGAATTGTGGATTAAACTCAGATGACGATTTGGAAGCTCCGAAGATGTAAGTGTCGCTTAAATCAGGAGAATGTAAACTTTGCCGGAACACACATGGCGTGAACGTAATTCATCAGCCATTGCGAATTGACCACGTCCAGTCATGTAGTGATGAAATCGAAGCCTAGTAAATCCATCAGCGATTTACACACATTAAGATGACCAGGCAGTCAGCCTCGAAAAATAGTTTAAAGCAGAACGACTCGACGTCTAACTACTTGAACTGCCAGCGACAGCTGGCGCTGCGATCCAGAGGTGTCGTCCATGAGATTGTTAATATGGGTGACAAGCAAGCTTATACACAGGTGAGCACAACATCTATGGTCACAAAGCGGGTCAACACGGCAGTATGGTTAAAATCGAGGTAAATGCTCCTGATTGAGCGACAACCTTGTGATTACATACATCAACTATAATCAATGACTGTATTTCAGGTCCGGTGCAGCCTGTTGTTCGACAGCCTCTATGCACACAGGCGTCTGCAATGGAAAACTGAGCTACTAATACGAACGCAGTAATCAATGCACCCGTGAAAAGTGGTTGTCATTGTAAGCAAAAGGATGGATGCCGAGATCGCTTTATGTGGATAGTTTGACTGCGGACCTGCGACAGACTTGAGTATCCGAATCCACCGCAATGATCAAGGCAAATAAAATTAGCTACTGGAATAAGGGAAGGGCGCTGAGTATAGCACTAGCTTTGAAAGCGCTGGTTAGCACCCAAGCCTTCGTGACGGATGCACTCAGTTGCGACCCATTGCAAAAGATTGGTGGGTAAAGGCAAAAAGGCATCAGCAGTACGAACGTATGCAGTACCGACGCCCTGCTGCAGCACCATCACCATCAATCGCACGCAGGCTAAGGATACTGCGAGGGCCGCCCGGTGCCTACGCAGGTCCAATACGGCGCCATTAGATTACAAGGCAGGCTTGTAATCCTTAAGGCTACGGGCAGTCAGCCTGTGGCTTTACTCAGCACTCTATGAAAGCCAAACCACGCTCTCCCTGGATCTATTTGACCGCCGCAGGAATAGCGCAGCGGAGTACAACCATAATGAAGTGTACCCTTCTGTCAATCGGCAGATAAAACGAAGCCTATGCAGTGGCCGTGAAGTCTGGTGATCTCAGAGTGCTTCATAAATGGAGGCCGCTGCCTTGTCTGGCAATACTCGTGAGCTCTACCAGCTCATTCGATCCACTGGCTACAAGAAGCCTGGTGTCAGCGTGACCATATGTGAAGCTGACGGTTCTCCGATTGCTAACCTACAAAGACGCCTGAATCGGTGGGCCGAACATTTTCATTCCCAGTTCAATTGGTCCCCACCGTCCGCTTGTATGACCTACGAACTCAGCTACCCATCCTGGATCATTGCACTTGAGCCAACCAACGAAGCGGAAGTTTGCCTTGGGACAAGGCATTTGAAGCGATTCAAGACTGCTGGCTTAGACGGACTACTTCGGGTGCAGTTGTCACCTAAATGTTCGCCAAAATACGGCACGAAGGAAAGGTACCTGGTTCCTGGGGTGAGTCAGTTACTGTCTCAGTTTTTAAGAGTGGTGCTTCACTTTATGTGTTGATTACCGGTTGACTCCAAGCTATTGGCATCCATAGTACTTTGTAGATCATACCTGATTCGTGGATCACATTACCTGGAAGAACAAGCGGGCTTCCGTCCTGGCCATGAATATTTGGATCAAATTTTCACGCATCACCGCCACCTCTACCAGAGGCATACCGTCGTTGCATTCTTAGACATCGGTTGGTCGACCTAAGCTATGGCGTTGCTTGCTAAAGAACAGGGTCCCAGTAATGTACATTTTCATTATGCGTGCACTCTACCTCCATATCCGGCAGAGTGAGGGTCTATGGCAAACTTTGTTTGTCTTTCGCTGTCAAGAGCGGTGTATGACAGAATTGCCCTATGGTCCTGTTCCGATACAATTTCGAAACTAAAAACGTCACATCGAAAGCTCCGGAGGATTACCAACATTTCTGCTTAAAACTACTACCGGACAAGCGAACAACAGACTTAGATTATGCCGATGACTTCACCTAACTTGGGGACGACTCGCAGAGTATGCAAACCATTCGAAACCGAGAAACAGATGAATAGGAAAGAGCACATGCGATTACGCTCTATAGATAGGAAAGGAGTTTGCTCTGGCTAAAGGCCATGACTGAAGGGGCAGTTGGGAACAAACATAACTAAACAGTACAACTATCGAATCGCATGATTTGCTCGAGGCTAGTCACATAAAGAGTTGGAAGATGAAAAGGCATCAGCAGTAGGCCGGTACGCCGTACTGATGATTTGCGGCTACGCGATAACCGCCAGTCGCGCATGGGCTAAGGATACTGCCAAGATCGTTCGGTCTCCTAAGCCTGCTCGAATCCGCGACCTCCAGGTTGCAAGGCAGACCTTGTCCTTTTGATCACCGACAGGCAGAGTTTAAAATGTCGGAACCATACCTGTAGCTCTTTGACCGTATCATGGGACACCCAGGTTGACCACAAGTGGATACTGTAGGAGATGACACTTTTGGTCTGGATCTGTGTTTGGCTTGAGACTAGTGGGCAAGGACAAAAAGCTTCGACCATGTTCTACTCAGGGGAACTGAGGTTGAAAGTAGTAATCACTGTCTATCAGGAGTTGACGTAAGAGTCATGCAACTTCACATAGTCCATGATGAAGCTGTTGTGACTAGACCTGCTTGATTCATAATCTATGATTTGTTTCTTATGAATAATCAGAAACACACAACATTTTCTGTAGTGTAGTTCGACAGATGATGAGTAGAATAAAGCCAGGTTAATATGTAGTCCCTTTGAGGTAGCCCAGAAAACAATAAAGTAAAAGATCTGAGAGGTATGGTCGTTCGGATTTCATCAGTGACGATTGATGCAACTAGGAGTGCATATGTGATACGGCGGAGCGAGAGGTGTTCACAGAAGACAGCTTACGTTCAAGAATGAAATTCATAGAAAATGGAATGAATTTGTAGTGGAAATATCAGGGAAACTATATCCGAACAGCGTGACCACAACAAACAAATATGGTGTAAAGCACTGCGTTCCCTTTAGCAGTCTAAATAACACAATAAGAAGGGGTGTTGCAAGATGATATCATTTCGTGCTCTCTGATCAGGCAACATAGTAAACGATCATTGTAATCAATAGTTTGAATGCTGGCGGAAAGATCGAGGAGGCGCGCAACGTTACAGGCTACAGCGGGATCACAGGTGTTGAAACATGTGTCACGGACCCCACGGAAGCTTGTGTTACAATCAATTGTTTTTGTACACAAAGGTCGGGACGATTGCAATTTATCGCCACAGTCTCAGCAAGCTTAAGTAATTTGGCATTCACATTGCGGTAGATGGCCTGTACTTAGTAGGTGTTTAGCAATCGATGAAGCTGCCATTTTGTAGCTTAACGCCTGTCCTCATGTCTGTCTTCTCACAGTGGCATCAACACACTTTGGAATATGCTCCCCTATTCTCTTCCGTACACAATTATCTATGCCGCTATGGACATAGTTTCTCGCACCAAGAGAAATATATCTATTATTATTGTTGTTATTATTATTATTATTATCCGTTCTGTTGATGCAACTGCTTCCGCAGCTACAGACAAAGTGATGAATACAATGTGTTGTGGCGGAGATCAGTTGGGTAAGCTTGACCAAAGGCGGTAACTTAGTGGTTGTTCAAAGAGGGCACGATTTCGCAGCACTGAGTGTTCGTCGAATTGCGGTGGCTACACGCCGCTCGATTTGTTTAGACACGACATCACCTTCGAATGTCAACTGGAGATAGGCGGGCATTTTTGGCACGGAAAGGGACTTTCGTTTGTTCTATTTCATCGAGCGACCGTGGAACTTACTAAAGGCTGCAGGTTAGCCATTTGCTTACAGAGTCTGTGTAATAAATTGCAATTCAGATTGGAAACATTCGGGCTGCAAATTCTACAAGCTCGTTGGAAAAGGGTTTTGACGAGACAGAAAGGCGTACCTTCCGAGGCGCAGCAAATTCGCTCTTTACAACTCGGCTAACCATTACAAGAATGTCTAAAACTGAGGAGGGAATGAAGCAAAGTGCGGAGTGGAATCCAACCAATGGGGGAATAAAAACGATCCGATTGGATTTTTGGCATCAAAGTGCACAGCGCTAATGAGTCGTGACTGTGCCATATCGGTTTAGGTCTCCATTCAATGACGAGGTCTAATGGGAAACGTCTGTCAAGGAAGATGACATTTACTAGATTGAGCAAGTAATGCAGTCAAACTGCTGCCCTCGCGTCATGTCACCGGCTAACTGTTCGTCGCTTTAGGCAAATAGGAGCAGAAAGAACAAACAATGCCAACAGAGATAGACCGTTTTAGGGAATGTGAAGGACAAGACTTACCCAACTCATTCGGTCCGATTACCACAGATACTCTACTGCGAAATCACGTAGTCTATTTACGAACACTGAACTTCAAAGGTGCTCACTCGGTTCGCCCATGGGACATGAGCCACAGTGCGAGCACTGGTGATCAAAACGGATCATTATCCCGTACGATTTAGTTATGCACGTACTCCAGAAGGTAGCAGGGGCTTAATCGAATGCTTTTAAGGCGGCTGTTCCGATGTCCACTTAGATAGGATGGCTCTAGGTAGTTCGAAGACCCACCTCGAGGGAATTGAGAACCAGGTTTGAAGGACGAAGGGCTTCCTGTGAGTTGTCACCATCGCCAATATCAGGTGGTGAGTCTAATGACTTCTGACTGCAGTCCTGTTTGACCGTTTGCCGCTGTGGAAGGTAAACCAACAAAGTAGTAGCGTGATATTAAATGAAAATGTTTTACAGATGCTACACATAGTCAGTGGCGTGACATTAAGTCACGAACGAAATTTGGGAGAAAATAGTTACTCTGATTAATATGGAACCTGGTGCCTAAACTAGATGACGGTGGGGGAATCGACACCCCTCGGAAAGACGAGAGCGTTCGAATAAAGCAAAAAGAAAAGGGAAGAATAACATCTAAGAAACAGAACTACTAGTGGAACAAGGCAAATCGTGTGTTCGATGAAAAGATGCGCTTAAAGTTGAAGGAAGCATGAGTTTCAAACGCTCTCGCTTACCTGTGCGGCGAACATAACTGCATATAGGCCATCCAGTTGGCATAATTCGGAGTGGGTCCCGCTCTCCTGAATGCAACCGTCTTCTAGCACAAATATCTTATCCGCCTTCAACACCGTTGACAACCGATGCGCAACGATAACAACCGTACGGCCGGCACAAGCGTTTTCCAAAGCGGTCTGAACCGACAGTTCAGATTGGCAATCCAAAGCAGACGTCGCCTCATCCAGAATGAGAATACGCGGGTTGCGAACTAGGGCCCGCGCGATGGCTATACGCTGTTTTTGACCGGTCGAGAGACACGTCGAAGCTTGAGTAATTTTTGTGCTGTAACCCTGAACCAAATGAAACACACATTCAGTTGGGGGGGGGGGGGAAACGGGTGTTCGAAATAAATATCAAAGAAAGTTAATTCGTTACACCCACCTCAGGGAACTGCATGATGAACTGATGGGCGTCTGCTAGTTTAGCGGCATTAGTAACCTGATCTTCAGACGCATTGGCGTCACCCAACCGAATGTTCTCATATATGGTCCCTGTGAACATGATAGGCTCTTGAGGCACTATTCCAATCTGAGACCTATACCAATCCAGATTCAGATCTGATAAATCGATGCCATCAATTTGGATCTAGAGGATAAAAGATCGCGGAGTACATTCGGATAGGTACACAGTATGGACAGAAATCGGATGTAAGTGACAGCATCCGCATTATTGCGCAAACTTTTAAAAAAGCTGGAACGCAACTTAAAAGAAAAGAACGGCGCGCTAACAAAGCCAGTTTTCACTAAATGGTTGACAACTCATCCGAAAAATAAAGGGTTTCCTGGAGACTCACCGGATAGCAAGGTCACAAAGGCGTTCTGAGTAGAGTGATTGAAAAAGGGGAAGGTAACAGCCGTACGCTAAACTGGCGCTGGCTAACGCGCCGGCAGTTTCACGTGGAACTGGAATACTGCAAGGTCGCATATACCAAGGCAGATTCGAACCTGCAACCATTGGATTAGAAGTTATATGCCTTGCAGTAAACACTCACAGGTGAATCCGAAACACAGGGTTATGGATAATGCAAAGATAAGACGTAATGTGCAGTGGAATCGCGAAGCACTAGGGAAAAATAAGGTTCCAGTAATAGGATATTTACTAAGATATAGGGCTATACAAGCGAACTTTTTGATACAGTGGACGAAGCTCCACAATGAACCATGCAAGTTAACACTTCAGCAGGCCGGCCCTGTTACCTCAAACCTGTGAGCCCGATCAGATGGGAAATCTCGTGAACATGTTTGGCGGAATCCGATTCCGGATTTGCCTGTCACTGTGGCCTCCATAGGAATAGTCAAAGGACTCCTGCGTCTACAGAGGGACCATGGGTGGCTTGCGTTGCACCCCTCACAATCCCATTCACACGCCCGACATCCAGTATAAAACCGAAGAATTAAGGCCAAAGCATGTGGATGGGAGCCATGTTGCATCAACGAGCCGGCCCACACTCCTTCAACATGCACAGCGGCATCCTTTCCTATTTATATGGGGGATAATGGGTACCACGTACACCCAAGGCGGTGGCTGGGCCGTAGTCCACTCCACACTGTCAAATGGACCGTGCACCCGGTTACGCCCCAGCAACGGTTAGCAGTCTCCAGAAAACAGTTTGGACGAGGTGGATGATAATAGGCAAACAGACACCTTGTCGCCACTCACACCAAGCGCATCCACACCGGGGACATCGACAGCTAAAATCTGAAATGGAGGAAACCCAACAGGCATGCACACGTACATACCACATGTAGTGATGATGTAGCACGAGTGCTACACAGACCTCATTCGTGGCCTAGGTCAGTAAATTGCGTCGGAAGCAGCGCAATTGCAAGGAGCTGCGCTGATGATGCTCACATGCTTAGCTTACTCGTCTTCTCTTAGATGTCGGCCCATTGTGGCTACGCTGATAGCTTATGAGGCCGGCCTCGCAGAGGCATTCACGACCGCATGGGTTACAGCACCATGCGTTTTACGCCAATGGATTAGAATTAATCGAAGTCTGCCTCTTCCTCAACTGACCTTCCTCTGTCCCATACAATTCGGCTTTCTCCTGCACCTGAGAAACAGCTTTCTTGATTTGCTCTTGCCACTGTCACCGATTAACTGACTTTAATTCCCAAGCCTAAAAAGGAGTGCCTCGAAACTCAAAAATAAAATTATTTATTTAATAGTACTTTGCGATAAACTCATCCCGGTCATGTACTAGTAAGGTGACTGCGGATTTCCCACACGCCGCTTCCCTGCAGCAAGTTGTACACATACCAGTTGCTTGAGTATCCGCGTGGAATTCATACGGCTGATATGCACGATCTATTTCAAGTGCCGCAGCAGAAGTATGCAGTCCACTGCATACATGTCACTGAGGCGAAGCACTTCCGTGTCAGCAGCTCGGTCACCCCAGCCGATGTGCATAATCCGACACAGGCACGGGTGGCGGAAGCGCTCCCGATAAAGGATACCTTCTCATAAAGCGTCCGGGATTCATGGCCGTATAGAAAAACAGAGAGAAGCATCGACCGATACACCATCAGCTTCGTCCCATCGGTTATGCGGCGATCTTCCACACTCGAACAGGGCGGCTGTCGAAGTGAAACCTGTAGTTATGCGCTGCAACACATACGCAGCGTATGAGAACAACGCACAGTCGTCAGCAAACAGCAGCATACGGCTAGTTGTCTCACAGACTAAGGTTTTCACGCCGAAACGACGGATGTTCATCAACCCACCATCAATACGGTGCTCCACACAAACACCGTAAGCACAAGCCGCATCAAAGGCATAAGACATCATTGCATGAAGATAAATATTAAACAGGGCAGGGGCTAAGACACAGCCTTGGTCCACACCAGAGACAAGTGCACTCTCAGCTGGATCTTCACCGCATATCACTGTGCAGATATTCAATCAAACTTACAAACTTACTCGGACAACCAAACTTACCCAACACCAACCACAATGCCTCGCGGTTCACCATATCAAATACTTTGGTGAAATCAACTAACTAGTGTCGTTATCCGCATTTCTCCTGGAACTGACGAGCCGCAAACATCATATCGATAGTGCTGCGACCCGAACGGAATTCACATTGCTCTTCCGTCACGTTCGGTTCAAGGGCGTGAGGGACGATTCGGGCGATCACTTTCCCCACACAACTCAGCAACATTACTCGATCCCTTTGCCCCCGCACAGCGGTAGTACAAGGGCATTCTTCAACTCGGCCGGTACCTCCTCTTGAGACCACAGCGCATCCGCCGTATTTCAATACCTCAGGCGGAATCCCGTCGAAACCGGCAACCTTGCCGTTTCGCAGTTGAGTAAGTGCTTTCAATGTCTCATGCTGTTTCGGTGCCTCAGCAAGACACATCTACATTTCTTGTATTGCAGCCCGTGGAAAATAGGCCGGTCAACACCTGAACCGTTGTTTAAGAGACTGTCGAAGTGATCTGCCAGATTTGCATTGCCTGCAGCTTGTGTTTTATATATATATATATATATATATATATATATATATATATATATATATATATATATATATATATATATATATATATTTATATACTGTGGCAAGTGAACAATTGAGCGACTAGCGATTATGACGATGTCGCCAGTTCATGTTCCACTCCGCATGTCAGTGATGAGAATGAGCATAGATATATTCCCAGTTGTTCATCAGCCATACTGAATTTACCGGAGCTTATGGAAACGCACGTACTAAGCGGATGGAATGCGGAAGCTCAAAGACGCCTACCAGAAGTTGAATTGGACATGACCAATCTTCTGGATAGACTAAGTAAAAGGTAAGGCAAACGATAATGGTACCTCAGTGTCTTAGTATGAATGAATCGGCGCATAGTGACAATCACTTTATGACCGCCAAATGGCTGCACCTAAGACGTACGATACAGATTGTTATCACATAGCTTATGGCCACAGCAGAGCAAACATCGGTATGTACAAACGGTTGAATACTTGGACATTTGCAAAACAATGCGAACACTGTTTGGAAAGTCGCATGTTTGACAGTGGGCAGCGGGACTTAGTTGATGTCACCTTTTAATATCAAAGGTTGCCCATCAATCATCCTTTGAGTAACTGCACATACCTCGGGCAGCAGAGGACCGAACTGATCGGCGACACAAAGCGCCAGAAGTGGACACTTCATCACATTCGCATGCTGTGCGATTTCCCACATCAGCTACGCAAACCAGACTGTACATATAGACGGCAACATCTAAGCGCAGGCTATTTTATTGTACCGCTAACTTTTTTATCATTCTATCTAGCAGTTGCTTCACTATTGCTATATTGGGTTCCTTCAAATATGGATGCCCAAGATTTAAGGCTGTCACGTCTAAATGTTGAAAAAAGCATCAACAGTTCGTATTAGATAGTTATTCTCATGCCTGCGAAAGTGCTTGGTAGCCTGACCTCCAAACGAAACCCATACACGTTTGTAGCACCACCGATCATGAGGTCTAATCTGTCTCTATCCAGTTTATGACAGATCACACTAAGGTTTGGACAAACCCATGTGCATATGTTGTATTCGAACTGCCATTGCACACGGATGACGCCAATCCATGTATATATGTATACCGAATGAATTCCCGCTTTTGTACAGCCAACTTAGGGTATGGAAGCGACACTCGAGCAAACGGAAAATAACATTACCAGAACATGAAGAAGGTGAGTTTATCATAAACTCAGGCGTGTGAAAATGCGATCAGTCTGTCAAGCTGAAGTGTGCCGCTTACAAGTGCTTCTAAATGGCTTCCACTTAACCATTCAACATGGTGACCAACACCGTCCACTGCGAGTAGGAGGGTATCGGTTGACATACCAAGGGTACTGCATTATTGCAGTGTTTCGAGCGGGCATTTGTTCACACTTGTGTATGGACTACCATAAACGGAATGGAGAAACAGCAACCCTCATGGACGATAACACTACGAACGTGCATGAGTTTGGATTGAATGTAAGAATGACAGCCATATTCCAACAGTATTGGAAAATCGCACGATTGTTGGTGTTTGGCTAAGGTTTGGGCCTGAACCCAAAGGGCAGCCATGAATTTCGTCAGAAGTGTGGGCATCAACCATAGATAGTGACAGGTATAGGAATAGAGAAACAAGTGCCATTTATGCGGTTACCAGGTGAAATAATGCACAAATACGAGGTACTTTAAAACAGGGTGTGCTATAGATGCAGTCTACTATATGCGATAGAAGACAGTAATATCACACGTTCTCTGATGGCCTCTTTGACGCGACCACAGGAATACTACATTTAGTAAATCCCGCTGCGCCTTGTCTTACATCCAGCTTTCGAAAAACTGTTCAAATTGTTTTAGCAAATTTACAAGAAGTAACTTGCATAACCTCCAATTGCTCAATCGTAGGCGATAAGCCATTTCCTAACAATCTGTCATCATACAGCTTAGTTGCAGCGATTCTTCGCTACAAACCAATTGTTTCTGTGTGCGGAGTTACGTTTCAATGAAATATACTAAAGCACTACCGTACTATCACAGCTGAACTTACCTACTTCTAGGTCAATCCAG